TTGTTAAGTAATTACACGTGTAAGCTCGTGGAGTTCTTGCTAAGGGATTAAAATGTTTCTATTATTTTACAAATGGAAAGAGTTGATATATTTATTAAAATACTTTGTAAAGCAATAATACGCACTTTGATAATTACGTTAATGCATATTTTGTTAAGTAACCAAATTACACGTGTGAGCTCGTGGAGTCGTTGCTAAAAGATTAAGGTGATCCTAAAGCCGTGACCCTAACCGGTTTTTTTCTTAGCACTAATTTTTTAATTGGCTTTATAGAAATACAAAATTCTTGTCTAGAATTAAAGTACGCATCAAAATCTTAAGATGTTTCTATTATTTTACAAATGGAGAGTTGATATATTTATTAAAATACTTTACATAGCAATAATACGCACTTTGATAGTCACATTAATATGCACATTTTGTTAAGTAATAAATTACATATGTAAACTCGTGGAGTCGTTGCTAAGAGATTAAGATGTTTCTATTATTTTACAAATGGAGAGTTGATATATTTATTAAAATATTTTATATAGTAATAATACGCATTTTGATAATCACGTTAATATATGCATATTTTGTTAACTAACAAATTACATGTGTTAACTATGAAAAAATAGAATTTAAATTTATTTTAAAAATTGCTATATAGAATAAGATATACAAAATTATAAGAAAGGGTGTATTTAACGAATTATACATGTTTTATAATGATAGATTATTCAGGAATACTTTTGATTTTCTTCTAGATGAAAATGAATGACTCCATGGATGGAGGGATGGATAATCCCATGCCGGAAGGTATGAGTGGTGGTATGGGAGGCGGTATGGGAGGCGGTATGGGAGGAGGTATGGGAGGCGGTATGGGTGGCGGAATGGGTGGCGGTATGGGCATGGGTCGCGGTGGTGCAATGCGAGGAGGTGGCAGAGGTGGTCGCGGTGGCGGCGACAGAAACATGGCCAGTAGATCGCAAGACGTAAGTTTACATCTCATATTCTTTGTATATCGTTCACCCATAGTGATTACTAATGAACTTGATTATTTTTATCATTTTTAGGATCGACTAATGGAACGCGTTATGTCTATCAGTGGGCCTACTCATGAGCTTCCACCACAGGATACGACAGAGAAGAAGTTCAGTGGCCGAAATCGTTTGTACGTTGGAAATTTGACAAACGACGTGACCGAAGAAGAAATACAGAATATGTTCCAAAAATATGGAGAAATATCCGAGCTGTTTGTGAACAAAGAGAAAAATTTTGCTTTTCTCAGACTGGTAATTATACGAACCATATATAGTTATTTAATAAGCAACATCGCTGCGCATCAATTTTCTTTGTGACAGTATTAAATGATTATAATAATTACCGTTTGATATGAAATGATAAGAATTTCTGGCTGTATAATTTTGAAATGATCACGTTATAACTACTAAAATATTTCGTGTTTTGCAATTTCAAATTAAATAATTGTTCTTCTTTTTTATGTTCTAGGATTATAAAGCAAATGCTGATACAGCTAAGCGCGAACTAGATGGTTCAATGCGCAAAGGGCGTGCGCTGAAGGTACGCTTCGCCCCTCATTCATCGACAATCAAAGTAAAGAATCTTACAACTTGGACATCCAACGAACTCCTTGAGAGAGCCTTCAGTGTATTTGGCGAAATCGAGCGTGCGATAGTTAAAGTTGACGATAGAGGTAAAACTACTGGCGAAGGAATTGTTGAGTTTTGCCGGAAACCATCTGCTCAGTTAGCTCTGAGAAAATGCACGGAGGGTTGCTATTTCGTTACGGCGTAAGTTAACATAACTTTTGATAAACTTTTCGATAAATCCCCGACGCCACGCTTGTTTGATGTGTTCTAATCTACAAGTGCCTAATGTACAATTTTAGGGGTATAGAAAAATATAAGTTTCACATAGGAAACATAGTTGATTAGTTTCATTGATCGCTGTGTGCTGACACGTGAAATACAAATTTATTATAAAAAAAGAGATGCTGATGTGAAAAGTGAATGTGTATATAAAATGTAAAAATTTCTGTTTCAGTTCCCTTCGACCAGTAGTTGTTGAGCCATTTGAGCAACAAGATGATGTGGACGGCTATCCCGATAAAAATTTACCACGCAAGAATCCAGAATTTTTCAAAGCACGTGAGATTGGACCACGCTTCGCGCAAGTAGGCAGCTTTGAGCACGAGTACGGTACGAGATGGAAGCAGTTGCACGAATTATACAAGCAGAAGGAAGAAGCACTTAAACGGGAAATGGCGATGGAAGAAGAAAAACTGGAAGCTCAAATGGAATTCGCCCGATATGAACACGAGACGGAACTTCTGAGAGAACGTACGTATTTTAATATTAATGTGTAAAGTACTGCCTCCTCTTCCTTTATGATTATATGAATTATCATATTTTATATTACAGAACTGCGAATGCGCGAGGCGGATCGCGAAAGACAAAAGAGAGAATGGGAAATGAAGGAGCGACAAGCCGAAGAGCAGAGAACTCGCGAAGAGGAATTAAGACGACGCCAACAAGAAGAAATGGCGATACGTATCAGGAGGCAGGAAGAGGAATTGCATAGACGTCAACAGGAAAACAATTTGTTTATGCAGGTTTGTTGAGTAATAAAGTTGTTTAACGGCATAAGTTTAACATAACTGTTGACGAACTTTTCGATAAATCCCCGACGCCACGCTTGTTTGATGTGTTCTAATCAACAAGTGCCTAATGTATAAATCTTAGGGGTATAGAAAAATATAAGTTTCACATAGGAAACATAGTTGATTAGTATCATCGCTGTGTGCTGACACGTGAAATACAAGTTTATTATGAAAAAAAAGATACTGATATAAAAAGTGAAAGGATATATAAAATATAAAAGTTTCTGTTTTAGTTCCCTTAACTTTCTATATTGTATTTTTTCTTGAAACCACAGGTTTAACATTTCAATTATTGTGTACTGATGGTTGTATTTTTTTATATTCTAGGAACAGGCAATTCGCAGTGGCGGCGGCGGCGGCGGCGGCGGCAAAAATTATGATTCTGTCAGTAACAATGATCGTGATGGATATGGTCAACCTGATGGTAAGTAATGAGTTTTTGTTTTAGGAAGAAATGATTTAAGATTACGAAGATACAACTATAATACAATTGCAATCTATACATTGTATATATCGCAAATATGTGCAATACAGCTATATGTACAGTATGTCTAAACTTACATAGAAGTATACAACGATTTAAGGCTTGTTTTTTCAGCATTGTCATAATTTTATATTCTGTACTTTAACAAATATGTTTTTGTTAATTTTTGCAGGTGGAAGCGGCATGCCAGTGGTAATGTATCCCTTTCATTTATTATTTTTTTCCATAACTTATTATAGCATTAAGTTTTTTCTCGTAACATTTGACTTTCTTTTCTGGACGTGTTCTTTTTTTCTTCTTGGGCGGTACAATTTTGAAATGTATTCTCATGCGTTTCGCGCACATCTCATTTATTACAATGAGCGGAATACTGTGTCGTGCATGACGAGATGCAATTATTTATCATGGTGTATAACACTATAAAGTTAACTTAGGAGGGTTGATAAACCCTGATATTATCCCCCAATTGAGCATGCTCTTCAATATAAGCAGAGTTCTAATGTCTGCAAAATTAACGAATAATATTTGTTAATAGTTTTTTATTCAATACATTTATGAAAAAAAAAATATATATATAAATTTGTTTCGGATATTTGTAACATGTGGAGGAATCAATAATGTGCATAGTATTTAGACAACAAAAAATGACACTTCAATGACTGCATGGAGTGTCAATATTAACACTGATTTTAGTTACAAATTCTAAATGATCTCCATTAACCGGCTTTGCCGTTTGCAAAGATCTGTAAACGATTATATAGCTATTTCTGCTATTTAACTCCTAAACATATTTTCTACTGACGAGATACGCTTTTGTTTTGCATCTAATTTTGATGCACGGATATTCGAATTTATATGATCTACTGTTCTCTTTAAGATGCGAAATCTTCGATCGGAAGTACCGATGCCGATGACTTTACGCTGAAAGTTTTGCTCAAAACCTCCGATTTCTGTGTTATACGTATGAACCAGCATGCGAACAGCGCAATATCTCAATTTTATCGCAGCGTTGACGCAAACTAATGAACTGTGACTTTCATAACAAACATTTTACTGCTCTTTGCTGCAAACATTGCAGCTAGAAATAGCAACCATAATAATCATCATCGTTAATTGACTTCCGCTAATTGACAAACGATTAAATTTTACTTAATAAGTTTTGTCATATACCGATTCAATTATTAACATATATATTAATACATATATTAATATATTAATATATATTAAAATTATAAAATATGACATTAGAACAGTGTTCTGTTATAATGTGATATTCTTGATTTTTCGAAATTGACTTCTATAATCGTGCCACACTTGGCCTATACGATTGTAATATATATATTACTAAAAATATATTACAATCTAAACTCTTTATGCCTTCGAAAGTGATTTAGATTTATAAATATAACTGCCATATTGGTCTCTCCACATGATTGCAGACAGGAGACTCTGATCTATTATTCTGTTGTAGTCTTAAGAGCAATTTTATTTACTATGGAACATTTACACATTCATAATTTGGTATTATGGCCTTTACATTTTTTGTGACAAAAAATGAAAAAAATGTGTGGCAAAAGATTCACGAAGTAGTACGGTTCCATAGTAATTCTACTGACCAAGAAGTGCCCAACTAGACCTTTCTTCTAAATAAGTATATTAAGCTATTACTCTTATAAAAATATTTCTAAGGAAATTGAATCGTGCATGCACATATTTCTGCAGTCTCCAACTAAGTTAAATTTGAATCTTGTTTATTTATTCTGAGTTTTGTATAATCTTGAATACTTGGAAGCACGTTGTTTATGGAATGCTAATGCTCTTGCATATTTTGACATATGCTCATTGTAGGAGTATTTTATGCATAATACTGATTCGCAATACGATACATTTTTTTGAAGTATTACGAGCACAACGGAGATAGAGCTTGCTTCGAGACCTTGATCACGTCTCTTTGCTGCTCGCGTCTTTAGTGCTCGGAGCTTCAAAATTATGTGGAAGCTTAATGTCAGTACTTTACTGTTAAGCAATTGGAATTATCTCCGGCGTTTTCTCTCTAATGTGCGAAATCTGATTTGCCACACGATAAAATGAATTCATCGTTTTTATTGGGAGATATTTATTTTATATGAGGGAGATATTTATTTATTCATTAGGTTCTTATTACTCTAATTACTCGAGGTAAACTCGTTCATAATTTCTACCGAATATATAATTATATGATTAATAATTAGGTCACTCTACTATTGGGGCTGGGAAATTTTTAAAGAAATTCTATTTAGGTCTACACACTATATAGAATATACAGGCGTACAAACTTGCGTTTGTACAATGTTACATCTATGTACAAACCGATACATCGACAATTTCTGCTTATTCATTGTGTGATGTGCAAAATGAAATGAATCTCATTCTTACTCTTATATTGTGGGATCTCCAATATATATTGGCTACACATTATTATCAAAATAGCAATAATCCTTATATCAATTGAATCAATTGAATATCTTAATCGTGCTTCAACTCTAATTTGAAATTCAACTCCACAATACGAAGTATAATAAAAATAATCCATGATTATATTTAATGTTACGCTTGAAATGCAATTTCCGAGCTTTTATATTTTGAGTTGAAGTCACGATTAAGAAAAGTAATTGTACGTGTGCGATAAAATTATAAAAGATTCGCGTAAACAGCTACACCGATATTTGTCTACTCATATATAACAAAAAGTATTGTCTGTCTACGTTGGGCATTTTCTTGGTCTGATTAATGTCACAGAACATATCCGCCAAAAGAGATATATTAGTAAGAGCTGTATTTAATGCAGTTTTACTGCCATGGACACACAAAACAGCAATCTAACATTGTGTTTTCCCCTTTCTTTTCTATGTGATTTGACGAAAATTGACGATGACCTGTGCTGCTGTCAAACATGGATGGTCGCCCTGAATCGTACGGAATGTACTTATATGGTACATCCGCAATTCACGCGCACACGCGTATCGTGCGTTCCTCTGATGCGAACGACATTCTCATCAATGATTAACAACAAACTCGGCTTCCCTACACGATTCGCATTCTCCGCGCGTTTCTATAGGACCCGAAGTCATTTATGGACGCGTACAATATGGATCGCGGTAGTCGAGGGGGTTATAACGATGATCGTGGGCAAATAATGGATTTAATGGACATGAGGGTTGACATGGGTAATATGGGCGGTGGTCGTGGAGGTAGCGGTGGTAGTGGACGTTGGCAAGGAAATGATCGAAATCGCCCGGATGATTATCCTAGCAAACGCCGACGATATTAAACATGCGCAGTACAAAGTCTTACTTCGCTGATTTCTTGACACTCTGCAAATCGTACTATGTCCTTCGTTCATTTCTCACTTTTATATTACTTGTTTGATCTTGATAATTAACGAGGCAGTGGGGAAAGAATAGTGTTGAGAAAATCGAATATTATTTACAAGCATAATATTGGACATCGATGGCAGTAATATACCGATTTGAGATACTCGACCTGCGAATGAAAAATGCGTGAGAGTTTGGACTTAAAACACAAGTTAATGTTTTGATACCTTGACGGATTCTGTGTCCTCCAGATGACATTTCTTCTCGAGCATGTATTTCGATTGAATATCAATAATGATAAAGATGGTGTTATTAAAAAAACAAATTAACGTCATCAGCTTGTACGTTTTAGAAATCTGCTTAAATTGCTGTTTCTACGTTGAGATTTATGCAAAATATCATCAATTGAAAAGCAATATTTAACATACCCGATATTTTATTGGACACAATTTATTCCGCATTTTCATCTTCTACTCGAATCATGACTTAAACATCACAAATTTGAATCTTACTTCATAATTAATATGTGTATTTTGTATTTGACATATAAATTTTAACGAAATATTGCATAAATGCCCATAAATATTAGACTCGTCAAGTATAGAATCATGAATAATTTAAATTTTCATATTTCATTTATATTACAAATATGAGATACATACTTTTACTACGAAGTGAGATTCAACGTTACAATTTATTTAAAGATCTTGGGAAATGTGAATGATATTAAGATAACAATATAATTTTTTGTTTTGCAATATGTTTTTGTTCTGAATATCATAGCTTTATAAAAAAATTCGTTCATTCTAAATTTGTACTGTACCATTTTTAATCATTCTTTCGATAACCATACTATACATTATTTATTATTGAGAGAAAGCTATAATTTAATATTTTTTGTTAACTTTGAAAGATTGCACTTTCCTTACTTATTATTTTATACTCTTTACCTGAATTATGAAAATATCAATGTATAAGCGACGACGCAAAGACGTCGTAACTAGAATTTAATTTTTCAATCAAGATTTACAATACTTGGTTTATCTTGAAAATTAGTATTGTGCTGTACGCCGAGCTATGCCGAGTGTGGTGGTTGCATCGTGATATGCAAACTTATCAGTTTTTAAATATTCAACAGTAATTACTTAGTATATAAGTTATTATACATACATATATATAAATATATATATACATATATACGCAGTGCTATCTGCAGACATAATATTCAATACTTTGTGAAGAATCTTAATCTATCTATAGCAGCGTGATTAAAAAAAAATAAAGGTATATAATACACAAACTTATATATCTTAGTTTCTAATATCAATCAACATTACTGTGTCTTCTATGAATTGCATACATAATTGATTCTCTGTAAATTATAACTAACTGAATTATAACTGAATTACAGATTACAACTTTTGCTACTACTGAAATATTTACATAAATTATTTGATGATCTTAATTTTGCTTTCAGTTCAACGATTTTCTATATCTTCTACATAGGAAAGGTTTGATGTATTGATATTCTCAGAGAAAGTTTCTCACAAATATCTTCGGATGTCTGATTTATTCCTCTTTGAAAAAATCTGATAATTATTTATTAATTGTATTTTATATACAACTTGGGAAAGTTACGATTTATAATAGTTATAGACAAGACAGTGCGTTTGGAAAAATATACAAAAGCGTTCTGTAGAAAATGTCGATAGAAATTTCATACTGGTTGAAATTTTTCTAACGTAAATTTCTTAATAAGTAATTAATATATTTAAAATAGCTTTCAAAAACTTTTTTTAATTGTAATGAGAATCTGAATTTATGTAATTACTTAATTATTATAATTATTATATCTGAAGTTTCTATTTTTTTATACAATGGGTGTGAAAAAGAGATTGCCTTCCTTTATAATGTAAAAGTTGCAATATTATAGCATCTATGATTCAAAGATCTTATATTATTGTTTTTTTTTCCAATTACTTGTAATATTGGCAATTTTGTCTGTTACCTTGATTCTTTAAGAATCATTATGGATGATAAGAAAAAAAATATTTTTTATCTTCAAGAATCTTCGACGTTCCAGTGCTTAATAATATTTATTTAGAACTGAATATAATTAATCAAGAGTCTTTTAACGGAGAGGAGACTACAATCACAAGATAGACTTACTTACTCGAAACTGCTAGTCAATGAACTACCTGTTAACGAGGTGAGTAGATTTTGTAAAACTATTATGCGTAATCTTACTTTAATCTTCGGGTGGGACGTTAAAACATTCAAGCAAAAATTACAAAGTGATAATTTATTGACCATTCACTAAGAGTCCCTCAGTAAGATTATTATTGCGCCTGTTATGAGTCTCTCTTTCAGAAAATTATATTATACGCTAGAGAGGGAGAGAAAGAGCGAGCAAACTGAAGATTACTTTGTAACGTTTGCTGACAGACATTACTGTTGATTAGAAATTATTATAATATGCAACTAATATTTAAATAGGTAACTTTATATTTCGTGATACTTTCATCTCCGACTCGCTTAAGAAGGAAACATTAAATCTTGGTCTAAATAATTTATATGATGATTTAAGCACTTATCAGCCTAGACAGCACTTCTTTTCACCTATGACAACCACAATATCTGGACACGTACTTTGATGAAAGGGTTGTCTTGGTCTAGCTATTGAAATCTAGGCTGTGATGACAGATAATCAATTAAGTAACATGAATAACAAATTCTTACTTTATGCCACTTTGAGTGGCAAGGAATACCACGATGAATCTTTTATATCAATTCTGACAAACGGTTTTATTATATAGCGACGATCTCTCTCGCAAAATAATTTCGTGAAATGGTAGATGGTCACTGACTATGTAAGTGACTCCATAGGAAGAAAATATTTTTAGCACGCAAGGATATATCTCGGATAAAAAAACTAAATAGAGGAAATGCAGATGTTTGTAATTTATTAATTCTTAAGATGCGATGCAGAGCTTTAAGAAATATTACGTGTGATGGTAGAATGTACATAAAAACCTGAGAAAGTTCAGAGATTTGTAAAAAGAATCTCCATGGTATTCTTGATACACCATAATCTTGTCAAAATTATCTCTTGAACGCGATTATAGACAAGTTATTTACTTTTTATTGCATTGTTGAAAGAAGCTGTTACAGAAAATACAATTTTTGTTGTATTTTTTGAAATTTTCTGCGGTTTTTATGTATTTTTATCTCATTACCATATTATATGACAGAATATTAGAATACACTAAAAATTTGTTTTGGCTAACAGAATCTGTAATTATTTTGGAGCACAAATTAGAAATTATTTATTAAATATATCTGATTTATTTCAAATATAATGAATTAAAAAAAATTTTTTTTAATTGACAATACAATTTATGAACTGCATAATATATTTATGAATGCTATGAATGTTTCAATTTGTCATATTTCAATACATTGCATATATTTTATGACTTATCATCTGTAATCATTTTTAGATTTCTCATTAGTATTTCTTAACTTTTTAGAATCTAAAATTTAGATCGATATGATACTTCGGAAATCATACATATATTTGTAACCTATTTAAAAACTTATATAATACATATCTAACATATATACATGTGAATTACATTATATAATACTATAATTATTTTTAATTACACGTCGCTGTCTTATATGATATAAAATTAAATTAATATACTTGTATTAAATTTTTAACGCAAAACATAAAATTTTCTGTTGACTGCTGTACTTACCGAACGATGCATATTTTATAGACTGACGTTAATTGACATTACGCGGATATCCAATTTCTTAGAACTGGAATCGCCTGATTACAATATCTTTAATGAACACGTATTTATAACATGTTGTATGTTTTCAGATTGCAGTACCAGGTTGATCAAGAAAGTGCTGACAAAATATAGGTATATTTTTCAATTTTTGATAAAATATTTTTTATATTTAATTAACTTTAAATATCAATCAGAGTCTTATTATACAAAAGTTTGTTGTCATATTCTGATTGACATGTTCAAAGTTGTTTGCGGTCAGATTTTTCTTTTGTATAGACATGCTTTTAGAATTGTTAACTTGCTTTAATTTTCGTTGTGTATTGTCAGCAGACTTTTTCTTTACAATATTGCATGTTATGAAAGATATGAATTTTTTCATTATTTTAAAGATTCGTGATAGACAGATCGTACCGATCGCATTTATAAAAATTCTATTGAAACTGATCAATATTTTTTGCATTTTATATAATTTATATAATTTTCTTGCAATTTATAGTCTGAATTCTGAGGTCTTGATACGATGGTTAGGCTTGATGTCCTTACATGAAGTAATGAACTTCGTGTGTCTAAGGTTTGTATAATCTTTAATTTCTTTCTCTGCATTTATTGTTTACGATTAAATCCTTCATGTTAATTCTCATCAATTTAATAATGATGATAGATTTTATAAATGATTCTAATGATTTTAATTATCCTAACGTGTACTGAATAACTAATCAATCTAATTTACGTGACCATAGAATTACACGTATATCGCTAACTCTGCTATTTGTTATTTCTGTATTAAAGGGAAGTTTGTAATGAAGAAGTGACGTAAATTGGTCTGGTACATGATACACACATATAAATTGCTTTAAAAAGGTGAGAATATTATTAGAAATATTTTTTTAAAAAGTGTGCATACGTTTAAATATAATGCATATTATATCAATTAGAAAAAAAATATTTAATGTTATAAATATATCAACGTTAATATAAACTATTGTCAAGACTGCAATGATGATATTCTTTCGGGGCTGAAACCTGATGTCAAAAATCTAATTCCAACGTGTACATTTCTTTTAACTGAAGCACGTCTTGAACTACATTTTATTCAGTTAGTTAATTAATTGTCTGCACTTGTATTAAATAACTAATCAATATCTAATTTATATGATATAGAATTACATGTATATCGCTAACTTTGCTATTTGTTATTTCTGTATTAAAGGGAAGTTTGTAATGGACGTAAATTGGTCTGGTACATGATACACATAAATTGCTTTAAAGGTGAGAATATTATTAGAAATATTTTTTAAAAAAGTGTGCATACATACGTTTAAATAGAGCATATTATACCAATTAGAAAGGAAATATTTAATGTTATAAATATATTAACGTTATAATATATAAAATATTATCAAGACTGCAATGATGATATTCTTTCGGGGCTGAAACCTGATGTCAAAAATCTAATTCCAACGTGTACATTTCTATTAACTGAAGCATGTCTTGAACTACATTTTATTCAGTTAGTTAATTAATTGTCTGCACTTGTACTAAATAACTAATCAATATCTAATTTATATGATATAGAATTACACGTATATCGCTAACTCTGCTATTTTTTATTTCTGTATTAAAGGAAGTTCGTAATGAAGAAGTGACGCAAATTGATCTGGACATGAAATACATAAATTATGCAGATTATGCTTTAGAGGTGAGAAAATTATTAGAAAGATTTGTTTAAAAAGTGTGCATACATACGTTTAAATAATGTATATTATATCAACTAGAAAGAAAATATTTAATGTTATAAATATATCAACGTTAATATAAACTATTATCAAGACTGCAATGATGATATTCTTTCGGGGCTGAAACCTGATGAAAAAAATCAAATTCCAACGTGTACATTTCTTTTAACTGAGGCATGTCTTGAACTACATTTTACTCAGTTAATTAATTGTTTTTACTTGTTTTTCATAAAAATGTTTTGTATGTATAGGGTATTGCAAGGCGCACTCTCTCTCAACAAGAGTACTTTTCAGCATCAAGTAGCTGAAGGCTACTTTAACTTTATTTGTAGAAAGGTACATTATACTTATTAATTAACCTATATTAAACTTTTTATTCTCGTAGAGTAGAAAATCAAAATATTAAACAAGAAATTACCAGTTCGGTTGCTTTTAGCTTATTATATATTAGTTAATATAATTAACTAACTTTCCAATAAAAAGAATTATTAGCATTATATTCGCGGGAGGATTAAGTAAATATAAATTACACAAATAAAATGTTTCTAGTTTTGTATTAAAATTATGAATAATTAATTATGAAAATGATGAATAATTGGCTAGAGTCCTGAATGAAAGATGAGAAAGCACTCGTTCACATTTCTGATTTGTACGACATCTCAATTTTTATCGTAAACATTCATTTACGAAAATAATCAATTTCTATTTGTTTGCAGCATTACATGCAGTACGGGCCAGCGGTTTGAAACTTAAATTATTCAAATATTTATACGAATGTTTTATATTTGAATAAATATATTTTTTTATTAAAATAATGCGTTAATCGATTTATTTTATTAAATTATCTTCCGACTTATATCATAATGCATTATTTAGCGGATATGAATTGGAGTCAGCAAGCAAGGACAGATTAAGATAAATAGGTATTGATATCTTAAGACATTTTAAAAAAATATAATAATAATATGTGTATATCGTGAAAAAAGCTTTGACAAAACATTTTATTGTTGACCGCAGAAAAAGCCATATACACTTTCACACAAAATCGATCATAGTTCGATAATAATATTGAAAAATTCATAATTGAAATGTACACAAATATAAAGACGACGATGATGTTGCACGTTCCTCTTGTGTGTGCCAGAATTGTAGAAAAATTATCCCGAATATTTTTCGCAACACTCGTTGAACAACTTATTATTCGGTGATGATACGGGCGTGTATATAGATAGTTCCTTTCCTTCATTTAGTAATATGACGATGCTAATTGCGTTTTGAGGTGCGCTTTTATAAATTCACAGAGCTTTTGACTTCACATATGAGATGCGATATATTTAAAATCGAATACACGGCCGGAGCGGGTGGAAGGAACGATTTTTGGTGTTTTGCGCTTCTATAAATCTATCTAATCCTATATACTTTTAGCCGCGACGGTCAAGTGCCATATAATATATTTATATATGTATATATATATTTTTTTTTTATTGGTACTATCCGAACGCAGCACGCGCACCTTTGTTTTCATATCGCAAGTTAAGTACAGATTAACAGTAGCGATTTAAATGTTCACACACATTGCGTGCTCTATTGTATAAGTCTCTATTTTTTTTTTGTAATTTATATAATATATACCTCTTTTCTTCTAGAATTCCTTTGCGATGACCTTAATTTTTTATATACGACATTTTATTTCTCTTACTATCGTATTGTTCAACCAATGCCTCGAGAAACCTGCGCTCAACTTGTACCAATAAAATCCGAGCGTCCTTCGGTTTATTTTCTTTCCTCCATCGTTCAACATTATATCTCAATTATACTTTTTATCTGTTAATACTTATTAAATATTCTTTTAATTATTGTAGATCACAGACAACTTGTTCTTAATCCATAAAAACAATTCAATTATCTTTTTATTTTTCTCCATAGGTTACCGATGTGTATTGAATGTGCCTTTCACGGTGGTGTATCGTGTATGTGTCGTGGGTATTGCTCGGTGTGTGTGTGATCGCAAAAAAACAGCACGAATCCCGGAAACGTAAACCGATGTCGAGCGATAATTACATATGGTCTTTTTCCACATCTCGCCCAGTTTATTGCCGCATGGAACACCAATATATTTTCGAGGATGAAAACTCGAGGTTGTAAATAACCAAATTATACATTTTCAGTCAAGTTTTTAGTAAAATTTTCAAAGTTTCGATACAAACGCTATAAACTAAATGCTCACGTGCATTTCGAAGTATTACCTGGGTACTCTCCGAGTTTCCATGCGGCAAGCGTTTGGTCGATATCCCAGGCGACGTTATAATGCTAAAATCATAACGTAACGTAACAGCTAATTATGTTCACGGCCGACATTGAGACGATAATAAGACTAGCCGTTCTTTTTAAGCCTGAGGAGTAGCACGAAGCTTATTGCGATTTTGAAATTATCGCGATTACGATTTATTTTAAACCGTTGGGCACCAAGTACATTTTCATCCTTTGAGGGATACTCGTTAAAACTTCTGTGCAGAACAGCTCAATGTTGTCAAATATAACATTGTTAAAATATACAAATGGTACATAACAAAAAAAAACCATGTAGTGACTCTAGGTCTGCCCTTTTTAATTATGTGCTCTCAACACCTGTTTTCTCTTTTTATTTTTTTTTCCTGAAGAAACAGCGCATAATTTCTCTCGTTTAAATGCAGAAAGCGTACCTAAAACAACAACAAGCCCTACCTCGGTTTTTTGTCTCGAGAGAAGCCCTCACCTCGCATTATATACCGAACGTTCCTTCGCCTTGTGCATTCGTATCGATTTAAATGCGCATATGTAGCGCAGTCGTAAGACTCGCGTAAGGTACCCTACGTTTCTTCGTGAGTGTCGGTCAGGTACCTGAAAAAACCGTTAGAATTTGTGCGTGTGGAGATCATAGACGATACATGGACGAGGCCGCAACGGGGTGCGGGGGTGGACATTTGCGAATCGCGCGCGTTTTTTTTTTCTTTACTTGCAAAAGCGTGTCGCCAGTTAAAAGTGGAACGGACGTGATGTCGTCGGTGTGTCTGATAAAAATGTCTAACGATGCACGCGAGTGGACGCATCATGATCACACAGCAAGCGAATTACCTGATAATACTCATAACGTTTTTACGGTATTTAGCTCATAGTTGATTAAGTTCTTTAAGTCCATAGCTAACTCTCGTGACTTTTAATATACAGATAGCGCGCGACGCCGAACGAGTGGACACCTCGCTAAGCGTCCCTTTCCCTCCTCTGCGTTCTTCGGATGGACGTCCGTTCGGTAATCGTTGAGTGAACCAGAGGGAACGTATATACTCGGTAAAATGCGCTTCGTTGCAAGTTTGTGTCGGTCGTTTTGAGAATGGCACGAGTCCAGGTAACTTTGAGATTCAATCGCTTAATATAAAGATATAAAAGAATCGTTTACATAAAAACGATAACCGCTTCTTGTATAAAAACAAGCTTCTCCAAGTTTCGTAACGTGATACCATACATAGATAGAAACGTACGTTCGAGAAATCGATTACTTGCACAGGCAGACTTATAATCCACCGTTAAATTTATCATTTATACGACGTGTAAATTTTTAACTGACAATTATTATAGATTTATACAATTCAAGAATAGACTCGTGCCGTTTCCAAAGCAACCGATTTGCTTCCTTTCTACGCAGAACGATCGCCTACCGTCGCGGATACATCGTGGAAAATCGTTTAAAAATATACGGTGTACCCGAGAACGCGCTACGTGTACGACAGTAAGGACAGGTTCTTCATGGGATGCGATATACAGGCACGAGATTCGCGAATTGATTTCGTATCGCGAATCGCACTTAGACAAGCTACGAAGAAGGCATCGTGCGAGGTAAATCATCAATCTGGCGCGCGGAATAACGGCTGCCGCGTGCCAATGTTAAACATTGCAAGGAAACGAAGAACTTTTCTGGCGCATATACGTGCATCGCGCTGAAGATACCGCATTCGTGAGAGTTTCTGCCTCTCTCTGGCACGACAGTCTGCGACAGAGTTATCGATACGCACGACATCGCAATTATTGAGCTATTATCGAGTAGGAAAAGGTATGTCGCGAAATATCGTCGTGACACCTGCAGATATAAGTCGGCGCTTATAACGGGGACAGATTTACGATAGAGAAATGGCAGATTTTAGTCAAGGGTCGCCCTCGAATCGCGCCGTGTATTCGCGCACGATTCGAGTTCGCTCGAGAGAGTACCGAGTGTGTCTCTGGTTCACTCCGTGAATCGCGAGGGTGGATTTTAAAATCGATCCTGAGACAGAAAGATAACTTGACTCCTTTCCTCGGTCGAGGAAGCTTTCCTCGGCCGCTGTGACGCCTCGCTTCTTTACGGACGGCGATGGAATCGCCTAGTGTGGTCTCCACGAGATATTATTCAGACCTTGAAAATGCCGCTTCAAACTGCTGCCGTCGGCCCAGGGGGAGTCGAGATACTCGTCGTCATCGTCTTGCTCAAGTTTCTGCAAGTTAAAAACTAATATGACACTTCTCGCTTAATGTCCTCGCTCAATTCCTCTTAATGAGGAATATCTCGGGTTTACATGATTTATTTCGATACTATTCAACCCCCGCGCTTTTGAAGTTGTAGAGATCATCTCGGGTTTACCTTATTTATCTCTATATTATTCGCCGCTTAAAGAGCGAGATTGAATTATTTACAAGTTAAATTGTTGGTTAAATTGTAGTTAAGATTTACATGAATGTAATCACCTTTCAACTTTTAAGAACGTTACTTCCTGATATTATTTAAATTATTTCCTATATTATTTAAAAAATAATTTACATAATATTTTTAAGTGCAGCACTGTATTATGTTGTCAAGATTAGAAGAATCATTTTTTTTTTATCTTCACCGTGTATCTCGATCGAGTTCACCCTTAATGTCTCGCATATTGGTTCAATTCGTGAATTCGAAGCCTCGTTGATATCCCAAACTTGCTCGTCTGTGCGCATAGAGCGCAAACGACCCTAATACCTCGCGGTTTCTGCAAGCTCGCGCGGTATTCGCGAAGAGACGACCGCGAGAATTCGGCGAGGTAGGAGAGAGCTCCGAGGGCTGTCGTTTGGAAGCTATGGGAAGGGCCGAGAAAGCAAGGGTGAGTTAGGCGGGGCTTGTTGGGTCAGAATCGATGCTCGCGTCCTTGCCTGGTCTCTCTCAGCGTGGCCTCTCTCACGCATCCCGTGTATAAACGACAAAACCGCAGGTCCCCCGTTTGCGTGGGGGCTAACTCACGATTGATCATGAACACGTGCGAATTCGTGCCGCACGGAAACGTGCATGCGTCGAGCATGCTCGGGCAAAAATAGATGAATTAAAGTAATATGTTGGGAATTCATTGTGTAGGATAACACGGTTCTAAGCCTTGAAATTGCAATAATTTGGCTATTTAAAATCTTTTTTTATTCACAATTTTAATAGCAGTCTCTAACGAAGTTAAATAATTTCATTAAACTGAGATTTTTGTAATTGCTGAAAGATTTCCCCAGTAAAAGAAGTAAAAGGATTATTTATTATTTATTTAATCTTGATTGTGAATAATATAAAGTGATTTTGATATACTGAGAATAGAAATGATTGCAAATTTAATATATTTTCATATAGTGGAAAGTTTTTGTGTTGAATAAGTTTTTTAGAAAATAAAAAGATGGATAGTCTCAAATGTCATGCATTTGTCTCAACTTTCCGATTTGCAGAATAATAATTGCAGTTCTTTCTCGCTTTCTCGCTGACAGACGGCAAAATAAACTGGGGCAAAGTAATATAAGTAGCTTTGCATGAAGGAGAACTACTACTCGCTACTACATCTCCTCGGCAAACATAACGGGTCAGACATTGTCGCGTGTGTAGTTCTGCTCTTCGAGAGTGGAACGGATTATTTGCGGATGTAGAACGCTCGTTCGCGCCCAGTATCTGCTAAAAAATGTTTCATCCTTCCGCAGCATATACATGTTTCAGAAGTCGTTTATGACTTTTCTTGAGAAACGTTTAGAAAATTGTACTCTCTCGTGTAGAAAGATCACGAAAACAAATTCGTTACGCTGTCGCACAACGTAAACTCGCGAAAGTTTCCGCTCGAAAGATCAGACACGAGGAAATAGGGGTGTTTGATCGTTGCTTCTGTCGCTGTCGTTGAATGGTAGGTATGAATCGGGGGATACTCCGGATAGATTACTCTGTGTATATGCGGTCGAACGGTGGTGGGAGAAAGGTAGCGGCGACTCGCAGTCTATCGCGTAGCCGTTCGACCTATATATCGCCCTGCATCCCGAGTCCGCTATTTATAGATAGATGCGCCGGTAGTGTGGTCGAGAGCACTTAACTGCGCCATCATTTTATTACATCGGTAGCTTTTTACGAACAAATTATTCTTATGAAGTTAATCGCGAATTTGAAAAACAAAAAAAAAAAACCAGTTGACGCGAAGAATAGAGAGGATGCGATTTCCCGTGGTGGAGGATACTTCTCTATTATGACGCGTACTTCCGTAGCGATTCATCGAACATTCGATTTAGAATTCGTGGATCAATTTATCTTCAACGAATTTATCCTGTAATCTCCATTCTACACCCACGGCATTCGAGTATATCGCATTCTCGTCGGAAGTTTGGATTGCTATACGGTTCGGGATTCTCGATTATTAAATATTGAACGATGTATGTCGTAGGATTTCTGTAATCAATTCCTCTGCGTACCTTTAGAATCCGCGGCACGATTAATCCCAATTTAAAACGTGCTGAAATAACGTAAATCTCTGACGATGAAACCGAAATGACAATCTGACATGTACGTGATCTGACATATTTTTACCTACAATATATCTGGTATTTTTTTTTTTCGAGTCGTATTTATTCGTGAAACAATGTGTATATGAAAGTTGAAGTATTCTACCGTTCGTGCGACGTTAAATGTTCGTAATGTATTGATTACTCATTTGTCTCATTAAAGAGGCGTACGTTCCAGCGAACGTCTTTACGTACAATGCCCTCAGAACGTCGATATTCCTAAAATTTATCGCGCTGTTATTGTTCAAACGACGCGTTTCGTAATTGACGGCTGCATGGAGATACATGAATATTTCGAGCTGTTTGTGAACAACTTGGCACGGCGCCGCGCCGATCCGATTGCTCGCAACTGATCAATTTTATACAGGGAGATGCTTGTTCACATGGATTATCGAACACCTTCGGTTCGCCGCAAACCACGAAGGAAATTGACTGAATACTCCTATGGCAACGTCATATCTGAACGTATATAAACCGTGCGGACCGCGAGATGACATTTATGCACTCGGCGCGCTGTTTCTATAGCGAGTCGTTCATTCAGACGATTTTATGCCCGGCGTAAAATTATTGCATCCGAGTGAAGCACTTAGACTCAAGTTAGCTCTTACGACAACATAAATATCGTTCTGTGATTACGAAGCAGACGGGTAAATGGGGTAAAAAAAAAGAGAGTTCTGTTTAATTTTATGTTGTGCCTCCGAACATTTTGTTAATCATTTTTCATGTTATTCACTTTGGCCTGTAGTCTCAGAGTTCACTTTTGTCGATAAATGCGCGCATTTATTTCTGAGATTCATGTAACGTAAATATGCTAAATGCGCGCATTTATGAAAGTGAACTGAGAATACGGGCCTTTATGTATATTGTTATGCGGAAAGAGAGAGAGAGAAAGAGAGAATTGCGCCGTAATAGCTTCTCTGGGGCTCAGGCAGGATTACCATTCCTAAGGAATAACTCTAAATCGTCGGCGATTGCGGTTAAGGTGATTATGCCTGTTCACAGTTAATGCTTAGAGCAAGTCTTCTCGAAGCCCTACGGAAAACCACGAAGACACTTAAAAGCTTAGATCGACAGTCAACAAGTATAAGATAGCGAGGTCTGGCCGGTCTCTCTTTACGTTGACACGCGTTCCTAAAGTCAATCGATACCACACGAGATTTTCGGTGAAGCGGTGCTTACCCCTGAGCGGAGAGCGAGTTAGGAATCCCGTCAAGACTTTCCCTGCTGATGTCGTCGGCCATCGCGACCTTGAGTTGGTGCCCGAAGCTCGCCAAATCCTCCCTGAAGGCTTCACTTCCGGGCGTCAGTGCACCGCTAGTGGGCGGCAAGGGTGTACCGTCGCCTTCCCCTTCCTCCCCTTCCTCACCCTCTTCGCCACCTACGAGGACCACCTCGTCTTCGTTGTAGATCTTGAAGTAGGCGATGGTGAGGTATATCACCGAGATTATGAAAGACGGTATCGGAATTGCCATCGCGTACACAAGGTTCATGTACACCTGAGGAAGCGTTTCACACATGTGACCAGAGCTTGGCGGAAATTAATATGTGCATCCCGGGGTTCTTTTACCCATGCATCGAGACAGTGTTTTGTGGAAGGAATCCCGCGAACGAATTTCGACTGAAAGATTAATTTAATTACGAATAATTTTGTAATTAGTTACTCGAATTACTGATCACAAAGTATACAAATAAAAGAAACTAATTAATCTGATCATAAATAAGAATAAGAAAAATTATATAGATGAATATTGTTTAACGGATAATAAATATAATCCGAACAAAAGAGTAGTGAAACTGAATGTAACTCGACAAGTGGTAGCAGTCAATGTATGATCAGCCGTTTATAGAGATATTTGTATTGAGAAATAACTAAGCGTTATTTTTCAATCATCTTTTCCAATTAAGAATAAATTGTATTAAAAAAAACGTTATTCGATATCACTATGGCAATTTCATTGCCAAGACACGGCCGAGTTGATCCTGTAAAATGACCTTTCTATAAATTTCTATAAATTTGGCGGCAGAACAGTCCCGAGAGAGAGCCGTGTTATTCGCGCCACGTGATCCTATTTCTTCCTGTCGTCCATTCGTTCGAAGGATTGGCACTTGTGCCAGAGCATCGAGAGCACGGGCGGCGGGCTTTTCCGGGATCGCCGATATTATCGGCGGGTTTATAATAGCACGCCGGCCGCACACACTTGTGGAAATTGGATTTCTGCGCGCCGGGAGAAATTTTCTTTTCTTCCGGGCGGCGCATCGCGCGCCGCGATGGCTTCCGTCTTTATTGTCATCGAGCCGCCCATTCAACCGCTTTGAAATGCATTGTCCGTTCCTCGTGCGGACGGTCGCATTTCCGTCGCCGTTAACGCTACTCGCGCTGTGCCCCCACGCGCTCGGAAAATCTCCTCTTCCGCTCTTTGCTATCGCTTACATCTTCTACGTGCGATCTTTCGCAATGTAATTCCAATGAATGAATTAATTAATTTTCGGTGCAGATGCGGGAGAAATCCGTTTTACACCGATTGTCTCGAAATGAAGATCATTTTCAGGTATCTACGGCGTCAAGGTCTAAACTCGACGGAAATTATATCGCTTTCAACACGTAGTCGAGATTATGCGAGATTCATAAAGAGATGAACCCCAGACATTCTACAGGAATAAACGCGAGACTCATTTGCAGCATAGAGCCGCGATCAAAGTGACAGTCGGGACTGTCGGGAGAATAACTTTCGTGAGAATGTCTCTGCGTTTCCAGTTAGAGCCGATTCACCGTTCTCCGCACGAACTCATTACCGGGATCCATTTAATCATTTCATACGAAACAGTTTCGGCCGGTATATCACGCTCCGCTCCCGATAGACAGCCGCAGTATTGATTCTCAAGTGCGCGGCTCAAGTCCCGGCGTTTAACTCGGGCAAAAGTCACATAGCACTTCTTTCGCGTGACTCGCACATACCGATATAGATGGCAAATCGCCTGAACTATAATCCGGTCACCGGGTTATAACACGCCGGGAAGCTAAAGCCACGTCAGTGGCCGACGGATGCCATCGCGTCGGCGAAGGAATTCGCACATCCAAGGATTTAGGGTTGAAACTGGAGACAGACACACATAGACGCGACGAGAGAGGGTGTCCACGGCGTGGGAAGTGTATAACAATAACGGCCAGAGACCTGCCACATGTCGAGGTCGCTGATGACTATCCCGGGATCCACTTTCGAGTAGTAACAGCTAAAGTTCTGCCCTATGTTGGCGTACTGCCGGTAGAAAATACTGCAATTCAGTATTGGAGGGTATCCACAGCCTTTTACGTTGGGGAACAGCTTGGCCCCGGTGAAGTACCACACGGAGTCGTTGCCCATGAGACCTGCGAACTTTCCCTCGTTATTGTTCGGCAACGGGGGAACGCGTTCTAGCGGGAGAACCGGAAGAACAAACCGGACGGGGGGGGACAAAGAAAACGTATAATGACTTCTGTATACAATACGCTCTCACGTTCAGCGAGATGAATCGCTGAAGTTTTACCGGAGAAAACTTATCTCTCTCTCGCGGGTGCTGTAACAGTTTTAGTTCTCTATCTATTGGCTTCGTTAAGTCCGCACCTGTTTCTAACGATTTTCGCACGTAGAATCAATCAGAATAATTCATCGCAACGAAGACTTTTCAATTCCGGTAATAATTGTAAAATCATAAAATATGACAAGATATTTATATAATTATAGATATAATGTAATTATGAAAAGTTAATAATTATCAATAGTTTTAAACTTTTACTTCAACGTTCCTATTATTTCTGTCGGCTCTTTGATTGGATAACAGAATAGGATTTTATAATTTCATGACATTTATAGCTTCAAAACGGTTCTGATGCATATGTAAAATATCAATTACACGAATAAATAGCAAGCTTCTCCTTTCGACTATATAACCACGCTCTTTCGAAAACAAATATGGAACGGATTCAGATGACCGAAGGTAGGATTGAATGTAAATCTCAAATCCTCGGTGATATCACTTTGTACCTGTAGGGAAAGATTTCGGCAGTCCGTTCTCGTCATCCACGGCAAAGTTCTCGTCGCCGTCTTCGATGTACTCGCCTAAGGAACGCTCGTAACGAGGCATCCGCTTGTTCTCTTCGTCGTCCTCGACACTTCCTACCGCTCCGCCTTCCCCATCCGACCCCTCGGTCGTGTTTTCCGGTAGCTTATAGTTGACGCGTATTTGCGTGCAATCGTACAGTTCCTTAGTGCAACCCTCTCTACAGGATGTCCATGAGCAATTGCTCGTACCTGGACTCAACGATCATTCATGGAAATTGCCGCGGCCGCGGAATACACAATCCAAGCACAATACACAGAACATTCGCGCATGAACAAATGACTGGAAAAAAAATGAGTGACACATCCAAAAATACACGTACGCACATACATACATCAAGTCGTAAAAAACGAGTGAAAGCGTGAGACAGCGGATTGAAACATTGACAATTCCATGAAAATGGATAATTCTTTATGAAAATTTACGAGATTGAAGTTTGAAGCTTGCAACCGTCAACAAGCATTACACACAATTCATTCAAGAATTTATGAAATATTCGTTAATTTATTCAAATTTCTAGACAATAGCTGTATCCATCACCGACGTGACGTTTAAATGAAAAAGTAATAGCTCACAGTCGCCAATTTATTCCAGATATACAGTCAACGCGGATAGACACACATTGCGAGAGGATAGATCCGCCGTGTGAAACGAATATCGGAAACGTGCATGCGGAGACCAGAGGCGAAGACGATGGCAAAGCAGAGAGTGTCGGGGATTGAGCCGTCGTCCAGAAAGTGTTTTGCATCGTGACGTAAAGTTGCAAGGGATGTTGACACGAGGCCGGTGCTCAATCGTGAAGAGCACCTGCACCCCTATTGACGTCCGTGAAGAGAAGAAAATTCAAGTGACGAAGGAGAAACGAGGGGAGACTCGAATGAACGTGAGCCGCGGGGGTACCAAGAGCACAAAGACACCAGTTGCGTCGATCTTATCACCACTCGCCGCGGCCTCTCTTTCCTGGCTAACGATTGACCGGTTCTTTCGATTCCTTTTATATCTTTGTATTTTTCACTCGATAGATAAGCTCGTTCCCGCAAATGTTATTTAACTAAATTACTAAAGTTTCGCTGGTTCTCTTTTTCTGGATTAAAAAAAACAAAAAAAAACGAAGGATTTATTCAAATAACGACTACTAATAAATTTATGATACACATATATATTCTCCTGCGAGCCAAGAGAAGTCCCCTGAAACATGCATGCAGAGAAACGACGTTCTCTGTTCCTCGGGAATTTTATGTCACGGTATTCATCTAATGGAGAATTAAAATTTATAGGACAGTATAAAACTTTTATGTTAGCTATTCACGAACGTGCGGTGGACGGTCCGACATGAAAGGCAAATGCGTGCCATCGGGGGATAAAAAATGCATAGGCTTTTTTTTTGTTACAATCTCCGTTGAATTTATCGTGATCCAGAGCGAGTTAGGGAAGCATTTCCCAGGCGGCGAAGGAAGACGAAGTAATCACGACGGAACGGCGCGGCGTTCTTCAACGTTTGCCGTTATAATTAAAAGCGCAATTACTTCCGTTATTGTTGCCCATGTGCTGATCTTCCTACGACTTCACTGCTAATAAGAGGTGGATGCGATTGCTGTTTTATGCCAACTAAATAAATTGTGATATACGATAAATATGAAATTAAGCGCGGAAACGTCAGCTGTCCTGTGACGTTCTTCGTCACTTTTGTTCGGTCTATGGGAAATAGCCTTTCCAATCATTCATGAAACTCGCATATTTTGACGCTGACCTAATTCTATAAATGGGAATTTACGTCAATTCCTGGTGTAATACGTTTATCATCGTCTGTCACGTGAAATATTTTTAGAATAAAATAATACATAATTTTCTTTGGGAAAAAAAAAGAGTATTATTTTTTCTAATATATATCGCAAACTTTTTTATTTTAAATTACGCACGACATGTCTCTTTTACCAGTTACGTCACGGTATTCATCTAATGGAGAATTGAAATTTAATAAGATTAGATGCGATTTGGACGCGATTCTTTCTACAAATTTACAAAACGTCTCTCATCACGTGCATACAAACGCAAAATGATATATGTTCATACCAACAAACACACATGCTTGGACATAGAAACAGAGAAACGTGAAGGACTTAGATTGCGCGCGAAGGAAGAATTCTCAGAAGAGCGAAGAATAGAGAGTTTACACAACACATGCAACGAGGAGCGACAACGAGAGCGAACAGGTGTGAGAGATAAGGGTTGCCGATTGTTCACCTCTTCTGGACTCAACGTCGATGGTAACACACTCGGCGGGTCGAGTGTCGAACTGCATGAAGATGGTGGTGAAGGCGGGGTCGATAACGAAGGGGACCAAGAAGAGGAAGGCGAAGAGGCTGAAGGTGCTGAGGAGGATGAAGAACGCGGTCGTGTAGAACAGCAGCTTCTGCAAGAACGTCTGCTTCTCCTTTTCGTCCGCCATCTCGGAGAACAAACGGCAGTGCTGGTTTCGTGCTGGGGGCTCCTAAGCGACGTCGTCGCCGTCGTCGTCGTCGTTGCCGTCGTCGTCGTCGTCGTCGTCGTCGCCGCCGTCGTCCTCGGCGTGCCTGCTGCTCGTCGTCAGACGTCGGACGTCGAAGAGACGGAACGATCTGCAGGCAATTCGCAGGTATTTGTCCTCCGTTGCCGTCTGGTATCGCGAGTCGAGTTTTCTTCGTGCCCCGAAAGACCTCGCGGAGGGGGAGGGGGAGAGAGAGAGAGAGAGAGAGAGAGAGAGAGAGAGAGAAAAAGAGAGAGAGAGAGAGACCCCCCCCCCCCCGAGAGATGATTTCTCTTACGGAGATTCCCAGGGGTTAGCATGCGCTGGAATGCTTCCGTTAGAGGTGAGATTCTTTTGTACGCATTGTGCAACGAGCGCCATTTATCTTGATCACCTTGAAGCGACGTATCGATTAAACGACTTTTTTTCTCTTCTTTTGCGACGTACATTCGGTCGAATGATGAAAGAGTATAATTTTTTATATTATCTAGGGGTTGTGTGATATTGTTTCGCGGTCTATTTTATCCTTTGGCAAACTAGGGGCATGTACGTATATATATGGGACCTGTAAATGGCAGTGGAAATAGACGAAATCAATACTATCATGAATCTAACATTTTTTTATCGTATTCATAGATTGCAGTAATCTTTTTTTTCCCCATTGGAAGGAGGGAAAATTAACGATAGTTTATCTAGCTCTTAAATAATCCAAAGAGCTCCGTTTTGTTTAAAAAACAACAATGTTATATTAAATGTTATATTAAAACTGAGTATTATAAATTTCATGATTTGAATTTCTCGTAGTAACAACTTTATAGAACACCTTTAATTTCAACGTAGGTTATTGCAGGAAGCAAAGGACAAGGAAGTGCCGGACAATTACGTGTTTCCAACTTGGTCTATGGGCACTATCGGCTTTCGGCACAATGACGCGATCGTTCGATTCTCATGAAAGATAAATGAGACGGACAATACCTATTAACGTCGCACATAACTTGGTTTTCATTGAATTCTTGTTAGAGAGAAGATAGAAGATTTCTTACAAGTTTTATCATGGATATTTTATTGATTATGTTTTATTATTAAATTTTACTCGATTTTTATATTCATATAAAATTTGTAAGGGTCAGAAAGACGGAATCTGTGCCTCTTAAAATGTCTCAAGCCTTCAGTATCGAGGTAAAGTTGCTCCTCAAGTTTCTTGGTCATCGAAGGCAATTCATGGAATTTTCCGGCGGAAGTTTCTGACGTCCTAAAGAAAGACGAAATGACTGTTGGACTCAGGATTGATCCCGGCCCTGAGATCCAAAATATTGCTTCGCACGTTATTGGATTTTATTTATATACTGTCACACATTATACACAAGAGAGAATAAGGATAAAACTTATAACGAGTTTTAAGGAGGTTTATGTGAGTTCACGTGGAGTCGTTTAATCGAAGGGATTAAAGACTGTATCGTGTCCTTCGTACTTGAAAATAATTTACTCATGTAGTTTATCCTTTGTTTTAAAAAATCAATTAAATGAAACAATTAATTAATATAAATAAAAAGTAAATTATTTATGTACCCCATTAAAAATAAAAGAAAAATAGCGATTAAGAAAAGCGTTTTGTACGTCGTAATAAATTGATTAGTAAAGATGATAAAGTTATTGAACATTACTGAAAGTAATCTGTTACTTTGTCTTAAAAAATAATATCTACTTAATTTATGCTGTTTACTGAATCTTAATTTAATTACCAATTGCGACGTATGATCATAAGATCTAAGATTGCTTTGCTTATACATTGATAAATTTATATGTATAAATATATATAATGTATATTTTTTTATGACATACACAAAAAGTGCTTATACAACTTTAATAACTTTTTCAAGCTTACTACGCTTTTCTAATGCATGATTTACGTCGGGGGTATACCCTATTGCATAGCGTGTCTCTATTGCAAGTCTATCTAACCTTTCCTTTGCCTAATGTAATTTTGATAGCACCCGGAGTAGATAACAAAAAGTCAGGATACTTCATAGTTGTCAACAGTTCCTAATAACGAGAAAGTTGTGAAAGCATTATCTTATTCTCCGATTTTACCGCAATCACTAATATTAAATAATTATAAACGTAAATATAAAAAATAATGTGGCGCAACTTCTTTATAAAGAGATGTTCTGCTATATATTAATAGTTCGACAGCGAAATCTATTTACGTAACTTATTTTCTCGTACACATCTTTCAAGATTTACATCAAAATGAAGAAATGACTTTATTCGCACGACTACTATTTATTTTCTTTTTATAAAATAAAAGAGAAAGAAAGGAATAACTTTGCACCGCGTTAAGCGATAATTTTAGAACCACTTAGCATCTAAGAAAATAGTCAATAAAAAGCTTTTTCGTGGATATTCATGAAAGTACAAGGCTTACGAATTAATTTCTTAGAGGTAAACGTGATTCTAAAAGCTCCTGTTTATCGTGGCGCAAATTTACCTACATAGAGGCAATATGTTATCCTACTTAATAGTCTTCGAATGTTTACTCGCGAATAAATTTTGCTCTCGGCTCGCTAACATTTAAAACTCTTCTTTACGGGATCTTTGCGATAATTTGCAATATTTTCGGCGTTTTGTTTCAAGACGTTATCTCAGGTGAAGCTGGATCTTAAGCGATTCAAACCCCGAGAATCTCTCAATCGGAGCGAGTCACGCAAAGAAAACTCGACCAGTTCCCTTCGGAGTCGGACGTAACGGTACCCCCTATGTAGAAAATGCGAATGCATCAGGGCTCGGCGCCCTCTTCCTGTGCCCCCTCATCATCATCATCCACCTTCTGCTACTCCTCTTCCCGCGTTCTTCGCTCCTCTGCCCTCCTGCCGATCTCTTCGTCCCCTACTTCCGCGCACTATGTCACACTGCTGTCCACCGTGCACATTTGTCTCCCCCGCGACACGCGAATCACCACGACGCCCTGGCCCACTGCCGAAGGATGATTAAATCGGGGGAAGGCGCGAAAGAGAAGAAGGGTTGCAAGAAGAAGGGATGAAAGAGGGACAGGGTGGAGGCGAAGAGATAAAAGAAACGATATACCGTCCCGCGATACGTGGATCACGACGGGATCCGCATAGCGTGCGCTTTCAGCGACGAGCTTCCATCGGCAGACCTCCTACGGCAGAGCCAAGTCCGTGTGTGCGCGAAGCTTTTATCCTGGCCGCGGCGCCGACGGATGCCGGGCTACTGCAGTCGGTGGAGCTTTCGGGCGAGCTTATTTTCAAGCGATAACAGCGCCAACGACGGTACCTCGTAGCATCGACCGCCGCCACCACCGTCGACGACTACGACGACGACGAGGACGACGACGGCGCGATCGCCGTCGTCCGGGGCGGCCCCCGTAAGCCCCTATCACCTTGCGTTCCCTCTTCTTCGAAGAAGGCGCCCCTCGCGCTTTCTTTCGCGATTACCCCGGCGTACAATTTATTGCCATTGCTGTCTTGCTGGATGGCATGCTGTTTAGCAATTTATATCGTTATAACTGTCTCACGAGCTTCGCACGAATACGAGATATCGAAGCTTTCTTTCCCCTTTTCGCTTCAAATCTGTTTTTTTTTCTTTTCTTTCTCCCAATACAATTTGCCTTTTTTCTTTTAAGACTTTTTAAATATTCATTAATCATAGGAGAAGGGCAGAAACGTTAAAGTATGAGATATCTTAATGTGATTTGGATCTTTTTTAGAGAAATATGTAAATTTCAAACATACGATAAACTATATAATTTGTATTTATATAAATAGAAATGTATATTCAATTTAAGACATTTAACATAATGGAACTTTGAAAATTATATCCCCGTTTTTTAAAATTAAATCCTTTAATGAAATAATAATGTAAGAAAATTGCATTTTTAGTTTTGCATTTTTTTTTTAATTTTACGCACGACACAATTCTGAGGATTATTCTACAATGTTAGAATTATCTTAACAATTTTTATCTCTAATATTACTGGTGTCTATTTTTTGCTATATTTTTTATGTTGTTTTTTATTATTTATTCGATGCAATATACCACTCTTAAGAAGTAGTTCTACCATCGATCCGAGAATTTCGAAGGATCGGTTGAGAAATAAGAATAGGGTAAGGAGATTCGAGCTATTCGAGTCAGTTAAAGATAAAATCGGATAAAAATTTTCAAGCCAAAAAGCCCTCTCTACCTTAAAAATTGAAAAGCTCCTCTCTGTTTTGAAAATTTTTTATACGATTTTTTCTTTAAAATATATTGACTCAAATAGTCCGTCCTTATCCTAACGAGTTGCAATTAAATCGGAGTTGAACGCGATGGAGTCATGAACCTCGCTTTGTTTATGTAGGAGGAAATAACGGAGATTTTATTACCGCTATTTCAGCGTTAAGACCAGTGTGTGCTTTAATCTTGAATTCTTAAGTCCATATTTATAGTCGCGTTTACTTGAAATCTCGTCTTAAGGGAATACCAAGTGAGATACTCGGAATGGAGATTCTTACTTTGAGACGCAAACTGTTCGATGTAACGACTTTAGATTAGAGAACAGCTGCGACTATTCAGCTGAGCATTCGATTATCCATGTAAAATTTAACTTGACATTCAAGGCATATCGATTAAAGCAGCGATAGGTGCTTCTTTTCAAAATCGATGTCCAGAACTATTTATAAAATGATATCTGCATTTATTCTTAATAAAAAACAAATTTATATCTCAGAAAAGACTCAGAATTGAAGAAGATAAAGGACAAAGAAATCTTCTTTATATGCCAGATATACTTTCCTTAATTCTATCTGACAACCAACTGTCTGATATCCTTGTGATTTAAGAAGGAAAACCAATAAGCGCTCCCGGTCTAGTTGGAGTTTGGAACAGTGACGAAGTCACTGAAACGAAATTAAGCCCTTCGCTTGTAGATGAAGTTCGCTTCATCTACAAGATGTAGAAATTTTAAGAGAGATATACATATCGAGTGGTTTCAATCTATTGCACGCAGAAAATTTTTCTCGTAAATACAAGTATACACGAACAAAGTAAATACCATACTAATCTTGCACGGCTAGGATATAGTCATAATATGCAAAAGATTTCAAGAAAGTATAGGAAAATTTAGAGAGCAAAAAATAAAACTATACGCAGAAGTAAATATTTCCATCAAGTATGGGACTTTCGAGAGCGCGTTTTACTACGTTAATTTAAAGACGAATGATTCAATTATATTTTGTTCGATTGTGTCTTATCCCGAATATCGCTGATGAACAAAAAACGAGACGTCTGTTGCAGTCATGTCAAAAAACATAAGTTGAATAAGTTGCCGTTATAGGTTGTGGCGGTCAGCTGTCCGCCACGTGCGAACTTAAGAACGCTGTAGGGACCCTGCCGAGCTGCCCTAGATATAAAGGTCGATGTTGAATCTTAATCACGCGAGAATGTACCGGCGATGCGCCGCGTAGCGGGCGCGAGCCGAATCCTCTCGCCGCGCGAGCCCACGTTGCCGCTCGCGCCGCGCGCCTTCCGTCGTCCACGATCGCGGTTACTATCGCATTTCTATAAAGAACATAAACTATTGCCAGATACGCAACGAATATTTCTATACAGTTCACAATAGGTACCATTCTAGATTATATTTTTCCTATACTGTCTTAAAAAACAACGCTCAATCCAAGACATGTGAAGTTGGCAATTCAAGCTACAACGTCGAATATACACATACTAGTATGGGACTTTTTTTACTGTTCTCATATTTCCTTGTTAGTATGGCAAATTTATTTACCTTTAGGTTACAAGATGTATCTGATCAAACTATTACATTTTTATTGTCATATATTAATTTCCGGTTGAATACGCGTATATCTTACCGGAACCTAGCAAATCTAGTAAATTTTATTATGAGTATTCTACATTATTCGAGAAAAATTTTCTGCGTGTGCTGATGGTTTCAATGACACAAACTTATTTCAAGTACCTATTAATTAATAAATACGTTACCATCCCCTAAATGCTATTTTCCAAGATGGTTTGAAGAGTTATTATTATCGCGAATGACGTAACGAACAATTCTCCAGACGATCGGTCGAACGGGTATCAATATTAATTTCCGTCTGACGACGAAGAAAGCATCTGTTACCGCGCAGCTTCCGTCAGTCACTAAAATTGTGTAACTGCTTCTAAGAAGGATGTCGACCGACTCGCAGCGGCTTCCATTAACACGGCGAACGCAGTTTATTGATACGCTTTTCGATACTTCGCGTCGCAGTGGTTGCGAAATGTGGAACACGGTTTGCATTTCGCGATTATCGAGTCCAATCACGTTTAAATTTAGTTAGAGAAATTGAATTTTGCTTTTGATCAATCAAAGAAAAGCGAGGTGGCGGCACGAAGAAAGAGAGATGTGACTGTTCTATAAAATAAATTGCTAAAAATCAATATCTATCTATACTTTCGATTAAACTTGTTGTCCGAAAATCAAGGTTTCACAATCTTCGATATTTAAATATGAAATCGTTTGGACAATTATCTAATTATTTTATAAATTTTGAATGCTATTTAGACAGATTCGGAGACTCTTTTATAAATCTTTTATATTGCTAGTCTTTTCTATTCTTGTACAATCGAGAATATCGTCGACCATCTTTATTAAGTTGGAGGACTGACTATACTTGAGTGCAAAGTGCTCTCGACTTGAATGCAATATCTAAAGCTAAAAACTGCTCATAGTAATGGTTCGTTATAACAAATTACGAAATATCTATCATTTCACCAATTTATTTTGATTGATCTTATATTTATTGTTAAGGATTAATAGGATAAACTTTTTAAAATTAATGTAAATTTCTGAGTTATATATAGAGCAAGAGAAACATTCTTTCTTTCTTTTTTAAATAAAAGTTCCAAGAAAATTTTTATTAGATATTTATTACAAGAAATTTACTAGGCCAAACTTTTGACGAATTTTCTGATTAAGATATATATTTTATCTTTATGTATTAATGATTAGAGACATTTTATGATTTGATATAATTGAAAAATGACAATTTTTACATGAGTGTAGAAGTCATAAAGAAACTAATTGAAAAAGAGAGCGTTATTTTCACGAACGCGTTGCGACGTAAAAATGTAGAATTTTTAATTGTTTCTAACAAAATGCAGCGTTTTCTGTGAATGAAAATGTTCACGTGAATCATCGTGCAGACAATAGTAGAATCGCTATTATACCATCCCTCTTTATCGGCGACATGGCGCTAGGTGCCACACTGACATAGTGAGACAGATTGACCTTAACGATGTAACCGGGGATAGTCCCAGGCTGATTCGTCCCTCTCGTCGGCGGTCCTGCGGAAAATTGGCCGATAGCCAGCGAACCGAAATGTGGGCCGTCCGTTTTTATGCCACGTCAAACGTAAATGACACTGCCAAGTCTTCGCTAATTGTCAGATTCGTACAAATCGGTACCAGTACAACTTTTTGTTTTGGCAGAGACAAACTGAAAAAACCTCCATGCCAATGAAAGTATACATATTAAACGTCGAGATAGAATAGCCAAGGTCACGATCATAAAATTATTGATTTTAGAACTTCTGAATAACTTAATAAAATTATAGTATAAGAACAATAAGAGATTAAAAAATCTTACACTGTAAAAAAATTTTGTAAAATTACAGGTAATTTTGAGACCCACTATAAAAGGTGTAAATTTCCACACATTTTTAATTTGTGTAATTGTAATACAAAATTATTTTTTCCTTCCGTACTGTAATTTTGTAAAATTACAACCATTATATTGTATAATTACAACTATTAGTGGGTCTCAAAATTACTCACTATAATAGTTGTAATTTTACAAAATTTTTTTACAGTGTATGCACGTATATATTGTTGTATATATTTACAATTTATTCTTTTCAAATCACTAAATCCGAGTCCAACGATTACAATCATAATTTTCTTATTATAAAATTCAGTTTGTTTAAAGACAAATCACGTTGGATACCCGACAATAATACGCGATCTGATACAGCGAGGGATTTCACGGTAATCCCATATCGCAACAATATTATAACAGACGATAAATCTCGTGAATCTTGTTAATTCCCACATGATTAATTGACAAGAGCAATTGATATAATTCTTTTCCCACATAAATTTCACTTTAAAAAAGACTTTATTTCCAGTACTCAGTTATGAAAATAGCCATATTTTATCAGTGGTTTTATGACGCTCCTCCAGTTGAATATTGTCGCAAGCTGAAGGAATAAATTTGAAAATTTCTCAAGTAAAGAGACGAATATATCTGCATTAATGTATGAGCTTCTCGGCGCTACATTTTTGTAGGTATAGAGAGCTCGAAATACGGAAGAGCCGGAGGGATGGATTATTGGAGATATCGGACGCCGTTTCTATTTATGGCCATGAATACGCGCGCACGAGTGCATTGATGCAAATATATATATCTCTCACGGACGAGCCGTATCTGAACGGTGCAATCTTAACACCCTTTCCAATACCGACTAAATTAACGACGCGCTCGAAATTAACTGCACGTGCTTAGCCCACGTGCCATTTTCGTGTGGTCGGTTTCTGTCCCTGAACACGTTCCCAGTGACCAACTCTCGAGAGAGAGAATGCCGAGGCAATCAAAGAGGGCAGCCGACGAACCAGCGGATTGGAACAGTAATTAGGACATTCCCAGGATTCCTGCGCGTAACCAATTCCCGCGAATCCCCCAATTGGATCGGCGAGCGAGCGATGTGAGCCCAAGCGCGCCTAAGGAACAAGAATCAATCGATCTCCTCCGACTTTTTATTTCCCAGGCCACTCTCTTCGTGTGACGTCAAAGCGCAGGTCGTCGTTTTTTCGCGAAGGAATCGCCGTTGTTGATCGAAAGGATGAGGAGAAGCGACGCGACGTCGAGACAATATACGGGAACGCACGCGGGCGGACGAACGAGGGATTTCGGTTTTCGGTGTTGGGGGCGCGGACTCTGGCCCGTTATCAGCGAGACCAACGGGCGAGGGTATCGAATTCTCATTCAGGTCAATCCTTTTACTCCCATAATCGACGCGTATACGTGGGCGGCTCGCCCACCGGCATGGCCAGGAGAGATGAGCGTGGACGTGCGTGCCGCCGCGCGGCTTTGCCTCGCGATGACAAAACGATGGTGTGTTGGTAGCAACGCGGGGTATTGATTTTGTGGTACAATACGGCAACTGCGAGGTGGAGCAGTTGCAGCTCCAGTACGGCCGTCGTACCGCCATATTTGTTTCCCTCGGCCGAGACCGGACTGCGGGGAAAGAGCGGATTTTCTGCGGTTTTTACGCCGGATCGGCGAGTCGTCCCGCCGTTGCGTAAGTAACAGATTGAAGATCCGGACGCAAAACCCCCCGTGCAGTTCCACACGGGCGTTCTCCGACCGTTCTCACCCCCGCGCGAGGAGCGCGCGCGGACTCCGAAGCGCGTTTAGCATCCCCTTTCGGCGAGAGCAGGTGGTGCGAATCCGCGCTCCGGCGGGAGGACCGCGTAAACAACGCGTGACAGGTGCTCGACAGGTGATTGTCTCTCGGCGAAACTAATGCCGCAACTTTTTTCAAGGAGTGCCCGTATACTTCCCGCATACCCGATACGTGTTCTTTGTCGTTCGATCGGCCGCGTGACGCGCGCGAATCCGCGACGCTATCGCCGGCTGATCAATGAGGGGAGCAGGAAACCATCAACGAGTCCTCTCGCTCGTTTTATATCCGCGAAGAACGATTCCGTTGGTGGCGATCTGTTAGTGAATCACCGAGTGAATTTGTGAGTCATTATAATTTCAATGAGAATAGTTTGAGATGCAGCAAGGGTAATTTCAATGACGTGTACCTTCAGTGGATATAATTCACGCGCGTCAATGAAGAAATGACGCAACGCGTGGGAAGAAGCTGTGATAAGTTTTCCCCCATAAATGTTTCTCGAAATTAAATATATCTTCCCGCGCGAGATTAAAACAGTGCCAGCGTCGAATAAAAATTGCAATCGCGGGGTAAGCCGTTCCCATTTAATCCGCTTCGCGTGTTCGTTGTTAATTGCGTCTCTCTGCTGCAACAAATCAACGGAATCTTTTCTTTTTCATTGCAGTCGGAATTTTCTTTTCTTTCTTTTACGTCGTAAGAAAGTGTTGTAAATTATAAAGGAATGGAATCACCCGAGTGCGGTCAGGTCCGGTAAATCTAGGGTTTGACCAATCGTAGCGCGATCGATCGTTCATTCTTGGCTACAACACGTGTCAATCACGCGTTCGCCTGTTTGGTTGAACGAAAAATCGAACAGAAATCTTTCTTTCTCCTCGATATATTTACAATATTTACATCTATAGTTCTCATAAAATTAATTTAGAAGAAAGAAAAAGACTTTAATTAACACAAATCGATTATTAATATTATCATCGGTACAAAATAATTTTATCGTAACGCTTTTGCACTAGATTATTCTCTTATTACACTGAGAAAAAAATTTTTTAGATCCAAGAAAATATTTTTTTGAATAGTCCTATAATAACATATTTACTTAATATAATCACATATTTATTTAGAATTACATATCTTTACTTAAATTAAGTAAAAATATCTAATTCTAAATAAATATGTGTATTATATTAAGTAAATATGTTATTAGGACTATTCAAAGAAATATTTTCTTGGATCTCAAAATTTTTTTCTCAGTGTACTACTTTATTTCTCATTGCGTTATAAAACGCACGATAAGTCATATATCACGGCATTAGCCTTGGGGGTATTATAAGATAAGTATCTGTAGCTTTCGCGTAATTAGATGTAAAACATGTTCTGTAACATCGGTAGGTGGAATATTACCGAGTGATAGATATGACGCTTTATGCTGGTCCACCGCAGTAGATTGAGAATACATACGAGCATACATATGGAAATATGTCCGCGTCGCGAAAAGTCTTTGCGCTGAATAATTTAAAAGCAGGTGATCGATTCTCAGGTGAGCCGCAGAAAACGCGACAAACTCTATTGCAGTCGACCTCATTTAAGATTCGATCGAACCGCGCGCAATTACACTGCATAACATTGATGCGCATTTTCCCCGATGTTATATATATCTGGAGAATTATCTGTCTGTAAACTTGTGAATTTCTTATAAAAGGAGATTGTAACGGAGATATTCTATTTTATAAATACCAATTCAACATTCCTGTACTTGGAAATTATTAGCTTTAATCTCCGAAGAATATTCTCGCCTGCCTCTTTATTCTTCTTTATATAGAAACATACATCTCCAGTTAAATTACGATGTAAAAAATTATCTTGCAGATCCAGTTTTGCTTTATGAAGAACGCAAAGACATATATGAGGCAATTATCACAGAAATCGTCCGTGTTTTCCCGTGCCGATCGATACGAAAAATTGTTGTTGACACGATTCGAGTTGCGTGATTCCGTGCGAGCGTTAGGCGACGAGTCCGACGCGTGTGTATATTATACATTTGTGGAAAACCGCATAAAACGGGGGCGCCATACCGTCTGAGCCTGACGCTCGATAAATTTACACTGCGAACACCATAAGCCTCGTTTTGTTACCCTCGCTCACGTTTTATCAGCGTTTTCTCTCTTCTCTTGTTCTCCATCCATTCCGGTTAAATTGCCACATGTTGCGAAGGTCGTTAACGGAAGTGTGTCACAATATCGCGGCAGATTTATTTTGCGTAATGAAGTGAAAAAAGGAACTGATTTTCGGAAAGAATTCTGTATCACAAAAATGTCTCTTGCGATCATCCGCCGAGAGTCTTGCTTATAAAGCCTCTGCAATGTCAACGTTGTAAAAAAGTTAGAAAAGGAAATTACATATTGTACCCTTACACTTGCGGAGATAAAATATTTTATGTGCTTCTTGGAGAGAAAATGTATACTATACGATATTAAAGAAAACACGTAAAAGTTTACGACCGATATACCAAGACTCCCTTTGGAACGGCCGCCGGAAATTGTTTTCAGCATCGATCTACAAGACGTAAAACACCAATATAAATAACGGTCACGTAGTTTTTTTTTTTTTTTTTTTAGATTACAATTGCAGAAACACGGAAGATAAAGAAACAAAGTTACACCGCGCTAGGTATTGCCGTCATTTTAATGGCATGTGAAACGGATGGTTGTCGACCTAGTTTCGCCGTTACACCTAGATCTCTTAGAAACTCTTTGCATAGGCCATCACCCGCAACGCATATACATATAGAATCCACATTAGAGGAATGCATCAGCTGGGAATTATTCCAGTTTCGTACTTCGACGCTTCGCTTCAACCTGCTTTGTTCTCAGCGATGATTTTATTACGATTTCTCGCATACCTGGTTACCTTTGAAGTTTTCTTAGAAAAGCGATTTACGTATATTTTTATTCTCTCCCGGACAAGACAATGTCCAAAATAGGAACATGAGACGTCTTATATCTCGATTTTGGACACTGTGCTGTGCTTTACCAGCTCAGTCTTTAATTCGGAACAAAAGTTTTCAAAAGATGTAATTGAATTCCAATTTAAGGACTTTTAAATAAACCGTAAACCTTGAATCCCTGAAAATCAAGAGAAAGAACAGTACATCGAATGTCTCGCTCAAGAGTCCCATATTTTCTAATGTTCTCCAACTCGCATCGTCGTTCGACTCTTATAAAAATTTCGAAAAATCGCGACCAGTTGGTCCGGATCGGTCGGAACCCGCCATCTCTGGAGATCACCCCGCATCATCCTCCCTCAGACGTTTTTCGTAGCCGTGACGTCAATTGCGGTAACGCTCACGGTATACCATTGCAGTCCGTCGACGCGCAGTCGCGCGGCACCGCGATCAATGCGCGTCCTCGCACGAGGGTGCCCGTCGGCCGTATATTACACGAGGACCGGGAACAGAACATGCGCGCGGGTGGACTCGTCCTGCGGTAAAAAGGAGAGAGAGACTCACGCGCGTGGAAACCTCTGACGTGGAATGCCGATGATGCAAACGCACCCTCGCATTTCTGCGTGGAGCGGGATTCGATGAATTCGGCGATCCTGCGAAACGTAAAGACCGAGGTAGAAAGCTGAACCAACGCCGCGCTGTGTTTGTGATGTGACTACGGAATGTTGCGACGAAACGGTTCTCGCGACGCTCCAATTCCGCAAGATGTAGAAAGCTAGTGCCAGGCAAAGGGTATCAACCGCTTAATTTTTGGTGGCTGAAACGCTCTATTCTGATTAGTAAAACTGCCTCTGTTAAAGTATAATTATCATTTCCCATCCAAATATACTAGTGTTGTGGGACTTTATCGACAAGAGTGCAGTTTCAGCTTACGTAACAGCCCGTCACAATAATGATACGCACGAAGATTTGAAGATTTTTATTCGGCATATCTTATCAGGATGTTAGAGAGAAGTCAAGAGTGATCTTTCGCTTCTCTACAAATGTTGATAAGATCGTTGAAGAGAAATATTAAGAATCCACGACGACTGACTTATAGACTCTAGACAGCTAGTTATAAATCATCGTCGAGTCTTCTCCAATCCGTTCAAACGAATATAAACAGCGAATGTTTATCTAGCGCACGCACCAGTTACGCTTTTGTCGCACGTAAGATGAACAAGTGCACGTAGACAATCGATTGGTGTGCGATCAACTCAATCGGGGCAGGATGCCGAAACCAGTTCCGGTGGAGAATCTGGTGATACCGCCGCAGGATGGCCGCATCTGCGGTACGATCTGCATCTGCCAGATGACGATGGTACTGTCCTCGGTCGCGCTGGTATACCTGACGGTCGCGATCTACATGCCCAGCGGACGGGCGTTTCAATCGGGCATCAGCGAGGTGCCCGCGATGTGCACGACGATTCGGGCGGTGAACGCCGACAATTGCGATTGGGGCAGCTGCGGCGAGTGGTGCCTGTCCAAGACCTCCGGGCCTTGCGTGCAGATCCACGTGAACCTACGCCGAAACGGGTCCACGATCCTCCTAGCGAACTGCACGAACACGACGAACAAGACGTGCTACGGTATCGATCAGGAGAACGCGAAGAAATCCAAGTGCATCGCGGACGAGTGCCGCAATCTGACCGGCACGTTCAACTGCTCCGCGGGCACCTGCATCAACATCACCGACGCCTTCGAGTGCATGTTCCACGACACGGACCCGCCCCTCAAGTGTTCCGGCCGTCGCGGCAAGATCACCTGCATCGACATCGACGGCCTGTTCAATTGTAACCGCGGCACCTGCGAGCGCATACGCACACCCTACAACTGCGACCGCAGATGCGTCGACATCCCGACCAGGAATAAGAACATGATCCTCCTCAGTGGGGACAAGGTGTATCTGAGCCAGTGTGAACGAGCTATAGACGTAGAGACTAATCGCGAGATCTGGCACGAGGATCGTGGAGACGTCATGATGGCCTCCTGCTACGGGATCTTCAACTCCACGTTGGGCGTGGAGGCGGTGGACTGCATCAACGGTTCCGTGCTGGAGAAAGATCTGCTGAGCGATCTGACGAATTTCACGTACTTGTCCTATCTGAATATATTCGCCACGAAGCCGTTGGACAACGACAATCTGGTCGCGCCGCCGGAGCAGAGCCTGATCATCGCCAACGAGAGCCGACTGTTGATCAACCTCGAGGGATGCGTCAACACCCTACGGGACGAGTGCAAAGAGTTCCTTCACGAGTACGGGAAGGACGGGTCCGATCATAACGCGCGTGCCAGATTCCCGTGTTACTACGCCGAGGCTAACACGGGCGTCGTCGTGTCACGATTCGATCTAGAAACGACCTATAAAGAGTTCTTGATCGCGCTATTGCTGCCGAGTATTCTGTTTGTCATCAGCTGTGTGACTCTGATCTTCTGTCAGAGGACAGTCGTCGTCGGGGACGACGCTAAAATGAGGTTCAAGGGCTCGCCCGGGGCGCTGGTCTCGATAGAGAGAAGCGCGTCGGGCAACTTAGGGGATGCTGGCGGAGGAGATTCCGTTATGGCGCTCTGAGATCCGTCACGTAAGACATGTTTTCGGCAGAAAATAGTTGCGTTTTCAGGCATGGTGTTAGCTATTTACATTGCCCTAATCAGTCCTTTCATATCACGAAAGATGTTTGATTCGATTCCCCGTTTTGTAGTTTACACTATTTTTAGAAATTAATTTCATATAATTTTCAGATTATCCGATTTCTCCCTCCCCTCCAACAATATAATCCTCTTCATATCATATATCTGATATCAAATCATATTTCTTCTCTCCTTTTTCTCTCATTCAATCGGAATTTCAATAATCGTTTTACGTGTGATTGTCATAGTAATAATAACTTTTATATATAATTAATTTATTCTTGTCATTGTGCAAATTTCTTATAGTTTATAAATCTAAACCATAATTTTATTAAATGGCATGACATAATATAAGGATACTGTAATTTTAATAAATTAATCTTAATAAAATTAGACCTAAAGTGATATATGTGAATTGAATTATTTTTTTTCCAACGCTGCATTACTCTCTAAAATACTTTCCTTTCTATCTATCTATCTCAGGAAAAGACGAGCTTTGAATGTGTGTAGACTGTAGAGTATGTCAAGACACATATTTTTTCTGATACAAATATTAGAGAGATGAACAGAAAATGCATTCAACATTCATGTATTTAAAACGTATTCAATTCTTAACAAAATTCCACTGTCATAATTATAAAAAATATGTGTATGCGACAAAATTTTTAAATAAACATTTTATAACATTAAGAGCAATTCAAAAGCATCCCTTTTGATAAATTTTGATAAAATTATCTGTAAGTATGTCATGGAAATATCTTTAAAAAGAAGTACTTGCGATGTATACATGCGTATATTCTCAGGAATACTGTCGCATTAAAAATGTATTAGTTTTTATGTTACTAAAGAGACACAGCGTAACATTATTTCCTCATTTTGCAATTCCCGGATTATAAATCTGATCAACGTTATTGGCAATAAAAGTCGCGAAGTAAAGTTTCTAATTTGGTTCAACGTTATTAAGGTCAATTGAGAACACCGAATTCAATTTAAACAATTGTCTTATTTGGGCTAAGGATATTTAAATGACTTTAAATAGACATCATCACAAATAAATATCGTTAAACAGATTCAACTCTAAATTGATTATCCAACAAAACCTGCATTAGAACGAATGTAAAAAGCTGTTATTTTGAACTATTCTACGAAGTCCAAAGTTCATTAAATTCGGAAAGAGAAACTCGCGAGCTATTTATTGATAGACAACTTATACGATCACTTTTATTAATAAATTGCAATATAGATTTTAATGTTGTGTTAACAGGCATTCCCCTCCTGGAGGAGAGTCCGGCTCGTCAGTCGATATTCTCCCTGCGCGGGTATTACTGAGGTGTGGGGAGGGGGGGAACGCGTGATAAAAAAAATTCTCATCTTGCAATTCAGTAAAACAAAAAAAAAGCAACACGTACACATTCCTGCAAAAGTATTGAGAAAACGAAGCGAAAAAGGAAAGCGGTCAGACAACAAAGAGATCAAGAAGAATTTATCTACTCGCACTGCCTGCACTAAATAATTGAAAGACCGCACACGCATGCTTATGTGACACGACGAGCAGGTGTTGTCACGATATCGAACGTATAATTCCGCACGATTCTCTCGTTCTCGAGAAGGAAGTAACAGCTCAAGAGAAAAGATTTACTCGATTTTGGCGTTTTTTCACACGTGACATTCGTAGCTCTTAAGAGGTTCCCCTTTTCTTGATTGATTTGCCGTGACCAATAGCTAAAGTTTAACAGCCAAGAGGCGCGCCTTGCTGATGGATGATCAACTCGAGACGAGCTCTCGATAGCCTGCTTACTTAACGATTCAACAAGCCAACGTAACCAGAAGTGCGAACGACGACGCGAGCAACCTAGCAATATCGACGGAGAAAAAGTCGGCCTACTCAAACTTGAAGACCTTCACCTCAAGAAGCTTCATATTCAAAGCTTAGAATTTTCCAACTTAACGCAGTTCTATATCCATTAGACCTACTTAAATCTAATGTCGATTCTTGAATAATCGTATTATTTAATTAACTTTATCATATTATATCTTGTTCAATTTCGCAAGTTTCTAAATTAATTATTTGACTATCTCATCTTATTATATCTTGTTCAATATTTCACAAGTTTTTAGATTAATTCTTAAATAAATCAAGTTGTATTCATCAAAATCGCAGATCGTTTAATCACAAGCCTTATAGCTATAATATTTCACTCGTTTGAGGAAAATTATTTCCTCCTCCGCTGCAGCCATCGGACAAGAAAGAATCACGGGGTGAATCAAGGTGTCGTAAGTGAGCCATAAGCACGTCTCTTCGGACGAGTCCCGACGCGGCCGCGCGAATCGTGGCTGCGCGCATCTTCCGAGAAACTTTTTGAGTAAATCACGAGTAGGGTCCACGTGGACCCACAAAAAGCCGCAATCATTGATTCCGACGAATCGACGGTGATAATGGGCGTTCAGGTGGAGGAGTCCAAGATAGGCGCCTTGGTCGAGAAGGCCAAGTTCTACACCTCTGTCTGCATGGGCACCACGGCAATTCTTGCGGTCTTCGCCTTCCTGTTTCTGATCCCGTTCGTCGTCGAGCCGGCGATAACTACCATCCTGGCGGATTTCTCGCCGCACGCGGTTGCCTGCGTCACGACGGAGCACGTGTACGCGGAGGGGTTGAAAAACTGTTCATGGGCGAGCTGCAGGGAAGGTGATTTCTCGATTCCTTTCTCATATTTTTTACGTTTATAGCATACCGTCCGAGTGTAATCGATGATATCGTTATTAACGTCATAGGTTGCACTTCGGCCGCGCTTCGTTGTCATCAGATCAAAGTCAACTACACCAGGCTCCCGTATGAGGAATTCGTGGCAAAGCCGTTGGGTTCAGTGCCGTGGGACGTCACCGAAACGAAATTCTTCGTGAACACGGAAGGATGCGGCTACCCGCCCACAGTCAACTGCTCTCTTTTCGCGAAGAAGTACGCCTACGAAAATATGGGAAAGGTATTTCCCTGTTACTACAGCAGAACGCATCCGGAGACAGTTGTCGCAAGGTACGATCAGTGAGGCAATGTATGGATTTGTCAACCCAAAGCATAATGCACTATCTTGCTTCTCGTATAAATCATTTTCGTGTATTGGAGAACTGTATCGGTTTGCACGACCATCTATCTCTAGTTAGCATAGAGCTTAACCCGCTATTTTGTGTCCGCAGATATTCGTGGGATGAGAATCTGAGGCATTTAGTGCTAGCCTTGATCGTGCCTATAGTACTGTTCGCCGGGACGCTCGGCGTGCTGTGCTACTGGTATTGTCCGCCGATGAACAAGACCTGCGGCGGGTCGAGTCGCAATCTCATGGACAAGTATGCTAGAAAGGAAGAGTAAGTGTATGTATGCAGTGCCCGTTGCGGGCTAGCAGAAACTGTATTTTATACGGAATTACTTTGAAGTCATTGTCGCTACGATTGTCGAGATCGAGAAAAACGATAATCGAATATTGTAAACGAAAAATCGAGCGTTGACTAAAATTATAAATTTTTTTTAAATTGCATCACACACATTTTCTCTCATTTTTGGCTCTTAGGCATTACACGATTTGCAGGATTTTAATTGTACTCAAAGTAATTCCTCTGTTCATTATGTGACTTTACCGTTTACTCCTCTTTCCATCTCTGTAATTTTTTTGGTTTCTCTTCATTCTTACAGCATCTTGGCAGAGGACGAATTCGAGGAAGACGAAGAGGAATACTGACTGCTACCAAGGGCTCACCCCCCCGCGCGGGAGTGATCCCAGCGAAATAATCTCCGAATGGCTCCAGTGTACTTTACTTTCTAAATTTAAGTGAGCGAGTAATAGCGTTTAGAACAAATACGCGAAGAGCGGCAAAAAGGATCTCGTTGTTATCGCTTCTTATCGGGTTTATTCATTATGCTTAACGCTACATCCGACTTTTTTGTCTTCTAAATCTGTGATTCGTGCTTTCAATAAATGGGACATACGCCTAGGTTTTATGTGCCAGCGACATAAAAATATTTATCTCTTTCTATCTCTTCTTCTCGATATTTCAATTGCACCGATATTAGTTGTATGCACTTACGCGAAAGAAATATAACGTCAGATTCATTTGACGGATCGGCAATCAGAAGAATCGCTTGCGCGAAGAATATACCTTAAATTTACGATGTAAAGTGGGCCATGAATATGAGAACTCGGATTTTTCAATTATCTATCAGTATTCCATGTGAGTTTCAAGAGGCTCGAAACATGCGGCAGTGTCAGAAAATAATATATTATGCATTAATGAAACGCAATACATGATACATTAATAACACACAAATTAATTCAATTAATAATACATTGGCTGCTAGTACGATATAAAACTCGCAAAATTATTCGCAGCTGATTATTAGCAGCGTAGTTGCGCATTCTAAAATCTTGAAATGAAAATCTAGAGATTAATTTATGGAAGTAATTTCAGATAAAAGCAATTACGAAACGGTGATGATGGACTTCCGTGTGTTTCGAGGTCAGCCGTGATAAAGGCGCGCCTTCCTACTTACGTGATAAAAGTTTAAGCAGTACGATAGTTTTTAAACGGCACAGAATTAGGTTTTGCAGCAGCATCGGATTTAGATTAAGCTACGTAACCGTGAATTTACGATTGGTTACATAAGCTGCCTTTGTGACGATAAATCGATCGTGAAAGCAGTACCGATGAAAGCAGTACGAGCAAGTAGCTCGGTGCTAAGCGAAAAATATCTTCACTCTTTCGTCGAGCTGAAGAAACAGACTCCAACGCGGACTCTTATTAGGCTAATCACGTTACTTGCTACACTAAATTAATTGTCCTATTCGTGCCTCCCGTTGTAATTACTTTACCAAGTAGAACGAGCAATGGCTGCTTCTTCATTTTCTGACGCAGGACTCTGAAAGCTGCACTAAATTTTAATTTCGTAAGAGTAAAATAAAACTATGATAACGTTCTGCAGAATCGACAAAGAAAAGCGATTCGTAAATGTTATTGCTGATAGTACAAAGGCAAATGTATTGAATGGAAATTATGAAAGTGCTTTATGAAGAAGGAAATGAAGCAAGTAACGTGGTTTGCTTACAAAATCCGCTTCCGCACCAAGTAACGTAGGCTAAGACTAGGCTATAAGTTAAGCCTGTGAATATTACCAATCGTAATTCTATCGAAATTGATATAAGAATTGTTACGAATTTTGTACGCGGACGCAAGTCACGTCGTGGATTCTATATAGTCAAAGAGAAGATATATTATATAGATATATACGAATAATATACGCGTATATTAAACGCACGTGAACGCTGGTACGCATTGTGCGCATAGTTTATAGGGCTAGATATAACGATATATTTTTAAGTTGGATTTTCTCTGCAGGGACGCGCGAACTACATTCCGTAAGCTACGAAACGACATCGTTTACTATTGAATGCTCGCCAATCGCTTTATAATAACATTTATTCCATCAAGCGTAATTGCTTGCAAGTAAATTAATATATCGCAGATAATAATTTATTAGTAACTTTAACCGAGAACGTCATTAAAGTGAAATGGAATTTTCAGATATGTATTAAATAATTTGAATATTTGAAATCAATTATGATGAATGAAGAAGTTGCTTTCTCTCTCAGTGACTACAATAGTAATTAGTTTATGTCTCTCAAAATTGTTTTTGTCAGTTGGTTATTGACTTCTGCGCTATGATTACTTAAAGAAATTCGGAAAAAAGGAAAATCACATAAAATAAATTTCAAATATTAAATAATTTGAATACGTAAATCGAATTTTGATGAATGATCAAGTTGCTCACTATGATTGCAATATTAATTAGTTTATATTTTTCAAAATTGTTTTTGTCGGTGACTGAGTTCTTTGAAATGATTTGAAAAACGCCACACACTTGACAGAACTAATTTTAATAATGGTTCTAATTAATGTTTGTTTCGAAGCATATGGAAACCATGTCGTAACCCTCTACATCTAGTATGGTTGTGAATCCTTACTCGGCCTTACTCTAGGTGTCCAGAGTGGAAGGGCTTCCACGAGGTAGCAACTTTCCATGGACCCTAATGTTTTGGCACTCATTCCCCACTTGAAGCTTGCTAGTCTATAGTTTCCGTTCGATCGCCTCCGAATCGTGGATGTCCGTCGATTTCATGTCGCGTTAACTACACGATTTCGTCCGACTCGATTCTCTCTCGCAAGTTGGATGAATTTTAAATGAGGATGCTGAACTTTAATTACGCTAATATACATCGATAAGATATTAAAGAATAATCAAAATTAGATATCGGATGATAAGTATTGATTCGAAACATAATTAGAGCATCGAATTATATAAATCGATTCTTGCTTCTCTTCTCTTGCACCCTTCTTCGCGAGACCATTTGCTCAAAGCGTTCATAATCGACGAAACGACGGCGCAAATTGAATTCGCGTACGCTTTCTCGCAAAAGTCACATCGGTTCGCCACATCGCAAAATTTTCATCTTCAGTTAGAATTAAAACTCTTATGTGATATTAAAAGCTTTCAAGCGCAACACCAAGAAAGCTCGACGCGGACAATCCAGGAGCAAGTAACTCGCGTATAGGCACAATTTTCGCATCACGTATCGGTTCTAGTGCCAATAAAAATTCGCTAGCTCGACTAGCCGGTCGCAATCGTCATAGGCAACGTTATTTATAGATCGCACGATCTTATCGAGATCGCGAGAAAAGATGTTTATATTAGAAACTGGAGATCTCAAGCGGATGACTTTTCTCGGCTGAGTTATAGGAAACGCGATTTTGTTTCGCAAAGAATTAGAATTGAAATCTTTAGAATTTCCTTAATCTTCGAATGATTTTTCGACTCAATTTTAAATTATAATAAATATCAGAATTTTAAAATTATAATAAATATATTATCGATATAACGGTAACGTTGCAATGTTTAATACAATATGAAAAATGATGATACACTTACCTATAAAAATATCCTGTAAAGAGTGTAATATATTTAATTTCTCTTTAATACTTCTCGAAAGATTAATTAGATAGAAAGTTAATCAAGGAAAAATTCAACATACAGATATTTGCTTGGGATCTCTCATTAGATAGGTAAACAAATTCTTCAGGTAATTCAAATAATTTATACGCGAGGATAATGTAGAGTAAATAAGCGGTTAACTGAGTAATCTAATGGAGCACGAATTGATAATAACCGAGAATATTGCGAATTCTATTTCCACATGCGATTTAACTATCGTACTCGATTTCTGAAAATCAGCAGTGCTGCGATGCATTATTCGATAGTTTACCTTCACATATTATATACCACTCGTAATGTTATTTGGCTGCTATAATAATATTCGCACTATAGTCGGATATTTATCATGTCCCTCACATCATGTCCCTCTCTCTTTTTCTCGCCTCTTTCCTCATATATAAAAAAAATTTATAATATAAATGAGAAAATACTCTTCGAGACGCTTCCTTTCTCTCTACTCGAAAGTTTTCAACTCGCTTCTTACATACTGAATCATAAATATTGTACATAATATATATATATATATATACGGTGTGTATATATACAAATAAACCACATACTCGCTCTGCGATACAAACGGACTATTGTATATAAGAGATTGTACGAGTTCGTTTAAAATACATAAAAAGAATGTTTTCTGTTAATCTGATGATATATTATTTTTCCAGTTTAACATTCCCGATACGTTTCTCGAAATACCACGAATTGTTTTGATTTTAGGTGAATTAATTTAAAAGAAATTTTATATTAATAAAGCTCATGTTAATTATAGCTTTCCCATAATTTTATTGATACCTTTTTTTTTAAATAACAGCCTCAAAAAGTGAAAGTTATGATCTCTAACATTTTAAAGTCTGCCAATGAGGAATTGTGATAATAAAACTCAGATACGTTGCATTTATCGACGTTACGGTATATGAAAAATCTATCTTCACATGCATTATGCGAAGATTACATAGCATTAAACGGAAGACATTTGACCTTTTGCTCTGAAGGTCGTAGAAATGTTAAATGTTAATCCATCGGAACTAACACTCCACCCTACTCGACTGATATCGAGGGGCTGAATCTAAATCGATAAAACAGATATCAACTGACTATATGTGCTATATGAAACACTTGTATTTATAATTCATAGTGTACGATGAGAGAATAGTTTCACATTTCCTAGTGCAAAATTGCATATTTCATCTGCTGATCCTTGCAAGTACAATTGAAATTAAAAAAAGAAGAAATAAGAACTTAATTGACACTAGAATTAACATTATTTTAACCTGCATAAATATCAATTATATATTGTATTAAATAAATGTAGATTATAAACAAATTATATTATAATTATTAAGTTATCGCGTTAATAAAAAATATATATATCACTTTTTGAAATCGACTTTAAAATCAGAAACTTATACAACTTCAAAAGAATACAAATGAATTGAACGTCGAATATTGTTTGCAAATGTCGCTGCATGTAAAAATATATTAAAATACTTTGAAGAAATAATCGTTAGCTAAAATAAACTGTACTTTATATTCAAGGTAAAAAAAAATAAATAACTTCGAAAAGAAGATTAATAAATCTTTGTTACTGTCTTCTGTCGTTTAAGTAGTCATATCTCAACGTTCCAGAAGTTTCGCTATTTAAGCCCCTTGCACAATGCCAGGCAACAGGCAATAGGAACAGGGAATAGAAATCAGAAATCATTGTATAAGTGCAGAATAAACAGTGACACAGGCAATAGACACAGAATTTCCGTCACGTTGGAAATTCTGTGCCTATTGCCTGTTGCCAACAAATCATAGCATTCGAATTATTTAGGTTGTAATTAACGATTTTTTGGTTATTTCCTGTTCCTACTGCCTGTTGCCTGGTATTGTGCAAGGGGCTTTTATTCTTGCAACCACAGAATGAGATTTGTGAACCGTGGGTCGTTTCACTCGGGCATTTCACCATGGAAGAGGATCCCACCCCCCATGAAAAGCGCGATATACCACCGCGCAAGCTCCGTGCGAAGGAACTCGCGAACCACACGGCCAACTAGAAAACTTGTTTTCAAACAGTCGTCGGAGCTGGTCGGTTGCATGGCTACCTCGCGTATACTCGCGTGAACGTGGAACTCTTTTACGGGATGAAAAGATCGCGACAAACTGACAATTGTTTTGCAAGTCGCGGACGGAAATGATCGCGAGATCGTTTCTTAACATCGATGATCCTACGAGGGACGCGTACCGATCGCATACACGTGTGAAATTAAATTTTCGTGGCTAAATGACACGGTTTATTCGTGATCGAGTGTTATTTGTGCAAATATAATTAGCAATCAAGTGTAAAGTTTTCGGTAAAGTATGGAACGGGATAACGATGAAAACGAGTGAAATTGCGTCGACATAAGAAAAACGGTGTTAAGCAGATCCATTCCTTCAATTATGATTCAAAAGATTCATCTCCGAAATTTTAAAATGCAAGAAATTTTCAAGAAAATTTTATGAAGACTCGCTATAACGACATAAATAATAATCGTTGTATCATGCGGATTTTATTATCAGCAAAATACATAAATCGTCGAACTTCTACAAAAGAATTATCTTCATTCTTTTTTGAAAAAGAAATGCAAGTATTTACGTCAGCTGCTGAAAATCGGTGATCGAGCAGAAAAAAAATTCATCTAAAAGAGCACTTGATATCCATGAAAAGTTAAGACGCGCAATCAGCTTAAAAGTAAAGCGGCTTCGATTTTATCGGAGATAAAACTCGCTTCGAACGAGTAGTAAATACTCGCTTTAGTCAGACAACGAATATCGAGAATGTAAAAAATATTCTGCAGTTGCAGTTCTTTTTTTTTTTTGAGGAGGATGCGGATGGACGAATAATAATTCTGCAAGTCTAATCATTTCTGTTGCTGCATCGGCAGCTTTATTCTCGATAAAAAAAAAGGGGGACAAAAAATCATGATAGATTTTATAAAAAACGAAAATCAGATTTAATGAATTTATGCACGCAATTTAGGAATCAGATAGCGCACGTCTACGGCAATAATGGCAATTCCAAGAATGAGAATCCCAAAGGTATTATGGGCAAGATAATCGGTTATTCCAAGGTTACTCGCAAGTGGAACAGTCATTAGGGACTTCGTCGTGGGTGTCCCTCAGAAAAGTGTCTTTCTAACATCGTGATCGATTGCCCACTATAAAAAAAAACGCAAAAGCCTATTACTATTTCCTCTGTCTTCTATTATATTTAAATAATAATGCTGACATTGTTCTAAATACTTAATGGAAGGTAATTTTCTTCAAGGAAGAAAATTTTGCGTGACGAAGAATTATAATTAGTTTAAAATTTATTGGTGCGTTAAAACGTCACTCTTTTAATTGTAAAACGGCCTTTTACTTGTTAATTATACGCCAGCAAAGTCTCGGCAACGACGCAGGGAACGACAGGAACAAATTCTAACGACGTTACTTCCGACGGTAATGGTGCGGCACAGAAATCCGGATCAATAGCGCATTTTTTAAACAGTTGTTTTAAGCGCCCACTCGAGCGTCGCGGTAATGGGATTACCGTCATCTAATTCTATACTGTCCTATGTAGAGCATCCGCTCGCAACTATACGGCTAATGAAGTTAACACGTGGCAATTGCTCTAAGTGCATCAGATAGATCGGACACTAGAGCGTCTAGCGAAAGAACGGCGGGGGGGGGAGGATCCGCGCAAACACAGGAGAAGACTTCCTCGGCATTACACGCTATTGTGCGCTCGATTGACGAACGGTCGATCACACCGGCTTAAATTCCGATCAGAGAAATGGGGCAACCCGCCAGCGATTGGGCAGAACTGTGAATCACTTGCCTAATGAGTCACTCGCGTGACACACTTGGAGCTTATTACGAATCTCCGGTACATTATCGTTGGATTGTTAATGTTACTGGTAACTAATTAACTTCCAAGAAGAAAGGAAAGTTAAGAGAAAGTTACAAGTCGTTCGTTGAATTCGAAATCGAGCAGACTGGCGATTTTTTGACGAGCGCTTTTTTTTCATTCGTCAATTTTCGTCGCTGCTGGAGAAGATTAGAGATTTGAAATTCTAAGTGTTATCTGACGCTCTTCGAAACGGCATGACGATCGTGCGTCACGACGTCACGCGTGTTCGTGCCCTATAAGAGGATGGTAGCTATAGCGAAATCATCTAATCGATGGAAGTCGTGACATACACACCCACACACGCACTTGTCGACCGACTTCGCGACTTGTACTTTTCAAACGGAAATAGTATGCGGGAAACGAACATAGATTCGCAACGAAATATTCCGGCTGCGCACGTGTGCATTCCAGCGGGTAATATTATGAAAGTGAAAATGGGGCTGTTGCGAACGATCGATTCCTAGCGCGAAGCGAGAGTGCGGTCCGTTGATCTCTCGATTTCTCGGGTTTTTCTTCGCGCGAGACGACGATCAAACTTTTACGAGGCTGCTATAGCACGACGGTAATGAAATGTCGACATAAAGTCGCTTATTTTTTATGTCATGCGCTCCGAGAGGAAACAAATATATAATACAATATAATACATATAATACATGTGAGATTATTTAACATTATCTGACAAACGAAATTAGTTTATCAAATTTGGAGAGAATTAATTTTTGGGCGGTAACGCATATCGATAAGAGAATAAAGGTCAAAACTCCAACGAGTGAGATAATTTTTCAACAAGTCCGCTGCTGGAATTATCAATTTTTGGGATCACGTTTACGCATAAATGTGTATATGCATTTGATTGACGTGGAATTAAAACCCCGTGGAATTTAAATAGAAAAAATTCAACGGAAGATTTAAAAAATGGGCAGAAAGCAGAAGCGCCGCCTGATACCGGAACAGGATCGTAAAATTTGCGGTAGCATATGCTTCTTCCAGTTCACCTTCGTCATCAGTTGCGTGGCTTTGGTTTACCTCAGCGTGGCGATCTACGCGCCGTCGTATAGGTAAAACAAAATGACATATTACAATCTAAAATTAGAAATTGATTTCTGGCATGTAATCGATCCCATTTTCGTCGAAATACGTTCGACTGGTAGACTCTATATTAGCTTCTATCCATCCAAAAGATTTGTTCCTCGTGAAAGTTTTCTCGCACAAGACTGCGTTCACCGTGTAGGATTTATTAAAGATGAAACTGAGACGCTATTCAAGTCAAAGATGTTATTCGAGATGAGGCTGTGGGGAAGATGTTCGCAGCTTGTTTCCACGAGACGTAATCCGAGAGGCGCGTTAACAACGCCGGCGTAATTTCAGGGCCTTCCACGTTGGCATCGAGCCGGAACCGGTGATGTGCCAAACCGTTAACGCCTCGATGGTGAATAATTGCGGATGGGCAAGTTGCGGCGAGTGGTGTTTGACGAAGACGAGCGGTTTTTGTCCCCAGTATCACGCGACCGTGAGACGTAATGGCACCGACGTGACTTTCGAAAATTGCACCAAGTTCAGCAGTATGGCGTGTCCCCAGGTGCGTAAAAACGACGCAGCATTACTTTGTCGTGTTCTTTCTTGCTTTTTGTTTGAAAGTCCCATTGTGTTATAATTTAAATGTTGTCCAATCATTTTTGAAAAGCTCTCGATAAACTATTGTGGCTGCGTTTCGATATTCACTGCCAGTACTGAAAATCTCTCTAGTTTACGTTAGAGTCCCTCTAATAAGAGTCGCGACACGTAGCAACAACTTTTGATTGGTGCGCATTTTCGGCAAAAGCACGAGAAACAGAAAGAGAAAGAGATATAAGAGAGAAAGAGAAAGCGATATGAATGTATATCACTTGTATATCGCTTTCTCTTTCTCTCTTATTTTGTCGAAACTCAACACTGTTAAAGGTTAGAGGATGAAATTTAAACCAATACCATGAGTTAGATTTATTTTGTTATTTTTAACTACCATGCGCGTCAAAATTTATTAGTTTGAAACAAAATAGGATTATTTTAACTCCATTGGTTTAGTCAAATTACCATTGTTTTAGTTAAATTAACTAAATATTGAGTAGGAGCAGTGGCGACCTATGGAATAGTTAAAAATTACTCAAATTTGAGTTTAATTTAACCCTATGAATTTAACAGTGAAGATGTCGCGAATCTTATTAGAGGGACTTTAGTTTACGTCACATACACTATGGATTTTCAGTACTGGCAGTGAATATCGAAACGCAGCCTATATTGTGCACAAATATGTAACAAGTATTATAAATTACAGATAAAAATATGAAGTTTATAAATTATTGACAATTTGGTTTTAAAAATGCAGAATGGAAAATAACATTTTAAGTGCTGCAACAAGAACATAAAGATTTAAAGAAATGAGAAATAATTATGTTAAAAAAAAGTTTTTAATTGATTTATGTAAATATTAATTTAATCTTGACTAATTTATTAGTTTATATTAACAACCTGATTTTGTTCTCGAAGAGAAAAACATGAAGCATGAAATTAACAACGAACTGAGATAGATTGCCATTAACGAGCTCGGCATAAAATTTCCTCCGGTCGGGAACATTTACGGTATAAGATCTGATATTAAAATTTTATGATCTCCCTCGATGATTCTCGTTAGACACGAACAATTACAATCTCGTATAATTACCCAATCAACTCTTGGAAATCTTTAGGCAAAGCTTTCTCGGGAAAAGACAATAACGAGCTTTGCTCGAATACCCCACTGGCCATAATCTTTCCCTGGAAACTTTTTCCATTTGACGTAGTATGAAGGTTCTTAACGAGTGGCGAGGACACACGTTTACCCTTCGGATTCCGATCACTTTTATTTCACGGTACGTTCCCAACCAAGCGCGACCGTGAACTCGATGCTTCCACACCCGATGCTTTCTCGTGGGCGTAGGTCTCCATCTCGTGGGAATATTACATTTTTACTGAAGCAACGTAGGCTCCAATTTCCTCGCCGTGCCGTCAAACATAGATACCGCGGGGATGATGTTGCGGAAGATTCATACGAATTGCATACAAATAAACTGTAGCGAGGCACTTGCTGTGTTATTTTGAATTACTTTCATTATTAATAATAGTTTCTTGAATTCACGGCTTTATTAAAGCTCAAAGCAATAGCTTTATACATTCAAAACCATCTTTTAGAAATCAATTTATTATTGTTTTCCTTTAACTCTATCCTTGATAATGGTAACTGTAATTTATCATATAAATGTCGATACTATACTGACCGATACTATATCTCGACAAGATTACTGGAGAAAGAAGGAATATGAAATACTATCAATCGATCAATACTTGTCAACTTTGCAATCTCCGTAGAAAATAGATGTCACCCGATATAAGTGTCACGCATAATATGCGTTAAAATATATTTATGAAATACAATCTGATTAAATAATATAATTTTATTCATGATTCAGATATCAAAAACTTTTTAATTGTTTTTAGAAAATATGAAAATCGCACTTCGCTTTCGTCTTGCTCTTAAATTTCCATCTCATGTTCTTATCGTCTCCTCTATATATTGATCCATCAACCAAGAGACATCGACGGATGGTTTTCAGCCCGTTGAGAGCCTAAACCTCTTGCAATATTCACGAAGAAGAAATGCCATTATAAAATCCATTGCGTGCAATACCCACAACATTATCCGTCATCGAAAGTTCTTAAAGAAAAGCTTTCTTCCCTTGTGAGCAATATTAACTGCTTTCGTTGTTTATTATATCCGATTGTTTAACAAACAATAAAGAAATGTGCTGATAAAAATAGACATGATAGGTCGAAGAGGCAAACAATATGACATAATCTTTCACTATACTGTAGTAGCAGTACGTTATACAAACAACTTGCCATTTTCAACAATGTTTGCGGATTAGAAGCTTTATTTGCGAACGGCTATTACATCCTTCACAAATTGAAAAATTTTATTACAATAAAAAAAAGTAAGATATACTAATTTCTTTCTCTCTAAATCGCGTTATAATAGTATTTTAATTAAGAAACTTTAATTAATTATGAAATGATTATAAACTTGTCGATTATATTCTTATAGTCAGAATGTATGTCAATTTTTGATCAGGGAAAGGTATTCGCGAGAGAGTCGAAAGGTTTCAAGTAATATCGTAAAAAACGTCTAAAAATACCCGGTAATAATGATTGGGATAACTCAATCTAAAGTAAAAGTTATGAGTTGGGAGGATACGAGTCATACGAGTTCTCCCCGAGGGAGTGCCCTATGAATATGAATATTTAGGCGCACGGCATCGTACTGTATGCTGACCGTTAATGCTTTGCCATCAGGCCTGAAACTTTCTGAAAGTAATGGGATTTAATTAATGGCGTTGATGAGAAAAAGTCATATAGCGTGTAAAACATACATGACCGTGCCTTTTACAATCGTTTTGATAATGATGTCAGACAAACTTTCATAAATCATAAAATAATTTTCCTAATAAATTAATTAAATAATATTTTTAAAGAGAATAATTTTATAATAAAATTACGGACACACAAACGTTAAAACATAAAATATCATTTAATTCTCTCTCGCAGGAATTACGCAATAAGAGAATAAAATTAAAATATATAGATATATAAAATAAAAAGAACTCGACTAATTAAGTATTAACATCGTATATAATTAAAAACTTTATGTTTAAATATTTTCAAATAAATTTTATCCTGTAAGTAAAATAAATTTGAGACTTAATTGTCAAATTATCCAAAAGATTCAGAAATCACAGTTAATGTACATCTATAATTTAAATTGTAAATAAAAAAATTACGATTAAACAGATTAAAATCACAAATACACTGACACTAGCTTTAACACATCATGATACGTAGTTTTGTCATATAATTAATAATGATATAAAGTAAGAATTCAAAATGAGAAACGTCGACAGGCGAACATGAGGAGCATGAAACGGTACAATTGCAACAACGGCAGCGAGTGCAGCATGTTGACGGGGGTGTTCAACTGCAGCCTCGGACATTGCTCGAACATGAGCGAGCTGATGCTCTGCCATCACAAGGCCGACGGCGTCGTCATCGATAGCGAGAAGGACAATATGAAGCTGAACGGCTTCTTCAGCTGTCAGCACTCCAGATGCACGAAAATCAAGAGTACCTTCACCTGCGACCGATACTGCCCGAGCATTTCCACCAGCGACGTAAACGTCTATCTAATGCACGACGACAGTATCATATCAGCCAGGTGCTCCCGCGGGATGGCCTTGAACAGGGCGAACGGTAGCCTACCCGGTATCAGATTGGACAACCCCGTTAAAATCTGGGACGAGCGGAACGGCAGTATTTTCGCGAGCTGCTTCGCCGTGACGAACCACGGCAATATCATCAGGTAATGACGAATGTTAATATAACGAAGTCTTTCGACGAATAATAATTTTCCACTTTATTTAAATTTATTCTCGTTTAAAATCTCGTTTCATCAAATCACGTCATCTAATTATATGAATGGAATAATTAAATATCGTTAAGAGACGAACATCATTAAAATGCGATTGTTATATAAAGAGATATGTTAATATTTTATATACGTATATATACAAATAATTATATTTATACAATAAAGGCAAATTTTGTATTAATTTTTTAGATATATGTTACGTGGTGAATTTCTATGCCAATTTTTTATAAGGGTCTTCTGTCGCTATTAACGCTACATTAGCTATTGATTGAATTCCTTGGCTCTATCGCATCTTTGAGTCTTAAATGCGCACGTAGAAAATGAGAAGAGACCGAATGAAACGTGAGACTCTCGAGAATTGGATTGCTGATAGAGTGAGGCTTTATTGAATGATTGAACGGAAAATATATTTTTGCTCTATTTTTTCCTTCCCGTAAAAACATTGATAACATTATCGTCTTAGATATTGATCAAATAGTAAAATTGGAATTTTATGCACGAACAAAAATAAAACCGTTATACGGTCATCACGTAAAATGTACTTGATACACATTCGTGGATGTTATTCCAAACGTTCTCTCATTTATCACCATCATGTTATTTTCAAGCTAAGGGCTTAAAATTTTATTGAATTGCCCAGGAAGTAAAAAAAGATAAACATGCCAATGGCGGAGAAAGGGACAAAATATTGGAGGGGGGGGAAACCAAACCCAGTCGTAGGATCAATAGTTGCTATGGAAATACCCTATAGCCTATAAGAAGCTGGTATAAATAAATGACACAGGTTTCGCGATAGAAGTAATTCTGAAGACCCCAATAAAATTGCTTATAAGAAAATATTTAACTTTAGTTCGTAATCCTCTCTAAAGCCCGTATCAGACCACAGATTGGGATTGAGAGTGGATTTGACCAATTAGAATAAAGTTCATTAAACTTGTGATTAAGTTTTCTTTATTTTAATTGATTAAATTCAGTCCAATCTCAATCCCAATCCGTAGTCTGACAGAGGCTTAACGGATATTAATCGATTCAAATATGTATATGTAATAAAATTTTTTCATTAAAAAGATTTACAAAAATTGCAATGTTTCATAATGTGCGTGAAAAACATTTATCTTTTTATATTTTTTTTATATTTCTCTATCATCTTCATCTTTATTATTATTTTTTTTACGTAAGGAGATCGACAAAATTGTCGATATGCGTTATATCGTTACCGCCCCTGTTACTTTCGCAGCACGGAGGACTGCGTGAACGGCACGTTGTTGGACGAGATTCCGATCCCCGAACCGTCCATTAACTTCACGAGCTTCCTGAAAATTTACGAAAAGACCCTGAAGCATCCGGTGGATCCCACGAATGCCTATGTCCCGGCACAGCAGTCTTTGACGATCTACAATACCTCGCGATTGTACATCAATCTCGAGCGTTGCGTCAACACATTGAGAGGCGAGTGCAGACGATTCCAGTTTACCCACGGCCGCGACGGCGATAATCAGACCGCGCAGAGCAGATATCCCTGTTATTACAATAAGGTAAGGCATTTTCTGTCGAAAGATTCAACGAATACGTGGGGATTAAACGGATTCGGCTCAGTTTAAGATCTCTTTTTCTGGCAATCCCGTTTTTTTAGTAAAAAAATATATAATATAACGTTTAGTAACATAGGCACATTTATTGCGTAAAGCCATATTTCTTGCTAAAAATTAATTTTTTTTTTTAAAGAAGATATTCCGGCATCTCGATAATTTTTATGTTTTGAGCAATTATTAAAATAATGCATCAAATTCGACAAACAGGGCAAAGACGTGCAATTAAATTGATTATAGAGAAAAATTATTATAATTTTTCGTGACGAGTAATTTTAACTATTGTTAATTGTTATTTCCGGTATAATAGTAAAACACTAATAATTTATAATGTGCGCAATTCTTATTTATGCGGATACATATTATGCAGAACAACTCGTTATTCGTGGTTGCACGTTTCGATCTGAAGAAGACGCGAATGGAGCTGTTGATCGCCGTTATCGTGCCGGCTGGAGTGTTCGTCATCAGCGTCATTACCCTGATTATCATCTCGCGATCGGTGCAGGTAGGGGACGACGCAAAAATGCGATGCAGATACTGCGTTGACAATCAAGAGACCCGGGGCGAGGACGAGGGACTCGTGGAGGCGACGTCCTCCGCGACTCAAAGTCAGGCTAATGAGAACGAGATCAGAAGTATGACCCTTTAGCAGTACAAGCCGTTTGGCACGGGCGCTACACTGGGTTACGAAAGGCTGCCGTTGATCGACATGGACAACGCTGAGGATTCCTTTTAGAGAAGAAAACGCGATACTTGATTTTCTAGCGGTCGCCGTGCCGGACAGATCCATCCAACAAGAAAAATCTTGCGAGAGACAAGCTCTAAAAATGAAATCCGAACACAAATGAAGCATGTGAGGCAAAGTTAAATTCTCGGATGGACATTAACGTCGTCTTCCGGAATGAGGTGCAATCAATTTTTCTACAGTTACAATGATCATTGTAATGCGTAATAACGTGGACGTTACAATGATGTGACCTGATCGTTGTGCTTGAAATGAAATTAAACTTCAAGTAATCTCTCTGCCAATGAAACTCATCGAAAGTAACCCATTCGGGGTCCAAGTTAATAATACCGACTCTCTAATTAGATATCGATCGGATACATTTTCACTGTTGCCTTCGATGTATCGCTATCACTTTGTTTGCGCGCCAGACAAACGGACGGACACTGGTATCACAATCGTCGATACATTAGTTTTAAGATTTTACCTCCAGATATATTTAAGAAACTTTCATTAAAGTACTTGTGTAATATACGATTGTTTACATTGTCGTCGTATTTTATCGAACGGTATCTAACAATAATGGCGTTAAACAAAACGTCTTCGCGCAATGTGTACGAATGAAGTGAAAGATGAACAACATTAATCAACGAAGACAAAACGGAATGAGTGATGGAACGAATGGATAAACGCTGAAATATATATTCACTACAGTAAACGTCACTCCGCGAAAATATCCTTTTTTTACGCGATATAATTGCGATCTTTGCGCAAAATGTGAAATAATCAAGCTTATTTTGATGTACAACGTATAGAATAACACGGCGACTTACAATTAGAGCTCATTTAATATTCGGTTATCAACGAACGTGCATTTATATTTTTTCTACATCCACTTATATTGTGCTACACTGTAGTTGACTCCGTACTACTGTGATTAGATACATCTAATACCGCTGGTAAAAAAACACTCGATGCGATTTCCTATTTCTGATACGCGAGTACTACGACTGCCTATATATGCGTAAATTATAGTTGTACAGTATATATTGTACTACATACTTGCGATGCCTAAGTATCAGTACCTTACGATGTAAATATATCAAAATATATATTATGACATAACATGCTTTCAGCGAGACATTTATATATTCGTGGTAATCGACATTGCCTCAATTTTCGTGCCAGTTTCGTGTCAGCGTGTGTTTCAAGTCAATCAAAAATATGATCCGTCGCGTAATAAATATTCGAAATACTTGATACAATTAACAAATATGTATTAATTAGAAATATGAATTTTTATAAGAGGAATAACGCAATGCCATAAAATTATTTTTTATTTTCAATTATTGGTTTTATATTTCACACTTTTATTTTTCATAATATTTTTACTAAAATAAAGTAAAATAAATAATTTTTTCAAGATAGATAATCAGCACAAAAAGCCATAATTTAATTTGATATTTTTATTCTCACAATGATTTATAATTGAAGAAAGAATGTATATATTTTTTTACTTTTTAATCAAAACTTATGAAAGAATTGTTAGAAAAATACACTCGTATAATCAGCAACGTAAGATACCGATTTAAATAGGCAAGAATAAGTTAAAATACCTAAATCTCACGCAAGTGATACACGTATGCACGTATGCACGCAAGAAGAGTGGCTAAAAATAGCCGCGCAACAAGAAAAAAAGACTTTTCTGATGTCACTGTACTCTATGTGCCTTCTTCCGCTTTCGATGGAGCCATCAATAAAGTATACCTATTAATATCTGCGAGTACTGTAAATTAACCGAAGACACAGGCTCGAAAGGAAACTTTTTCGAGCTCTTTCGCTCTCTCGGAAATAAATGTTCGCAGTTCCGTTACTTCTGTTATTTTGTTCTATTACAAAATTAGGGAAATTCCGATTTGTAAATAAAAGTTTTATCTAGCGTGTATCGCTTCTGTCTATTTAGAAATCATTAGATTGATCGTGTACTCATGAAAGCAATGTGATCGACGTACGAAATGAAACGGACAAAGAGATGAATGATTGGAGTAATTAGCAGATCCTCGAAACTATTTTTAAAGAACACCGATTATAAGGGAATAATGCAAGATTTAGCTGTTGGCAAATAAATATACGATTATGCAAATGACGAATAACTGTATATATATATGATTAATTATCTGTCTAACTAGATAAAGAGCTAATCCTCTTTTTGTATGTAAAAAATTATAGCTAATAGCTTAGTATATATGTGTATATAAATCGTGCAATTATGTGGTATGCCTTTATGTCAAATACATTTGTGACATATATGAATGTGCCGACTGTAAAATATAATTTCTTTTTTTTTTTTTAATAAAGTTTCTTCACGTGTAAATTACCGCAATTCTTCCTTGCATATTTATCCGCATCTCAATTTATCTTCCGCGTTAAAAATAAAATTAACTCGCTAAAATTTACCTGTAAACAGTTCAGAATAAACGTTGCGTGTCCGCGTGATTGTAAAACACGATACGGAAAATGGGGGCAATCGAAGAAAAACTACGTCGAATATTTATTCTTTCCCTGTAATGAAATAATGTATGGAAACGTTGAATTAAAATGTTTTGCCGTTTAAGAATTCCCTCGCCGTAATAGAAGCGCGATGCGCACATCGTTAAACCGTAATAAAATAATATCGCCGCCACCTTGCGTGTCACGGAACACTTCGTGCCGAGGGCATCATTCGAAGGCTCTGCTGCGCAAGAACGAAATGGTTCTCATATCTGCCGTTCACTCATAATACGCCTATGCAAATTAATCTACTGCGAAAACCATTTTCTGACCTTGGCGAAACGAATACAATTTTACCTCTCTATAATCTTAATCTTGCACAAAATTGCGGAGCGGATAAAAAATTTTCTTTAAAAACAGAGATTCTCCTGATGATTCATATTTTTGTGGAAATATAAATTATTCTCTTTGCATTTCGTTAGTTATAATTAATAAATAAATGTAAAACATGATTTTGATAATAGAAAATAGTTTATATTAATATCAGGAGATAATTCATATTTATAATATTGTGACTTCTAGACAATCAATCATCACAATTAAGTCCCAATTTTTTAACTTATATTCTCATCATATAATTTCCCTTAAAAAATATCGTATCGTTTTGATAAAATAAACAATAAATGCGATAATTGAATTGTCGTCAACCTACATTCGCAGCAACTGCAGATTAAAATCAAGTGCGTCCTGTCAATCGCGCAGCTTGTCGACATTTGAAGGGTTCTTCATAATGCAGGCACCGTTAAATGCTCACGTATCTCAATATACAAAGAGAAAGAGAAAGAGAAAGAGAAAGAGAAAGAGAAAGAGAAAGAGAAAGAGAAAGAGAAAGAGAAAGAGAAAGAGAAAGAGAAAGAGAAAGAGAAAGAGAAAAAGAGAGAGAGAGAGAGAGAGAAAGAAAGAGAGAGAGAGAGAGAGAGAGAGAGAGAGAGAGAGAGAGAGGGAAAGGGAGAAAAGAGAAAAACAGAAAGAGGGGGGAGGGAGATGCAATAAGATAGTATTTCCCATTTACGCATGTCCCATCAACGCGTCGCAAAAAGCTGGAACTGACACGGTGTTTAATGGAAAGCCTTAGCTGTTAGATAAACATATAATAGAAGCTTTCAGACGTCGGTTACGTGATATTACGTGATAGGGCAACCAACCAGCGAATAACACGAAAATCGAGATACGATCACACGAGCGAATTGTATATCATAAAAGACGAAAGGGAGTTAATGGAGTTATATACATTGAATCAGTAAACTTCCGTAGAGGTAGAGATATAAATAGAAATTGCGCTCTTCACGCATTGTTAATTATAAGTAGCTGCTTGAAAATAGCAGCTTAATATCGATATGTGTCCTATGCCTATTACGCTCAACAATGAATTTTTGAAGAATGCTAAATCAACGTACAGTTTTCTTCTCTCACGTAACTTTGTGAGATATAGTGTTCTATAAAAATAATGAACGAGCGTGGATATATTTATCATGTTACACAAGAGCATACATGTTCTTTTGTAGATATATCAACCGAAAGTAAACCAACTGTCTCATGGTCTCATAGTCGAAAAACATCGATCATTACATTCTGTAGAGAGATGTATTCCAGAATTATGGTAAAAATTATATCACGTAAAAATTCTACCGCGATAGAAATTCCGCTTTCGTTTTCCAAGGGAAAATATTGGAACTTAGAGACGGCATTAAACAAACTGAACAAATTACAACCGTTAACAAACACTGCGGTCTCTTTCTGTCAACCTCCCAAGAAGAGCAAACGGAACGTCATGAAAATTTCACAAACGCAATTTCTCGTGCGACACGTGCCGACTAGACCAACACGATTATTCTTAATGAGAATTTTTTTTTCCGTCCATTTAAGTTCTTTTTACGACAGGGTAAGATACCAAGTACCGACAAGCAATCGATTTTATGAATTAAAGAAGCAAGAACATTAATTTCTACTGTGTCCATTGACCAATGCAATAAATAGCTTTGACGGAATAATTAATTATTACAACGTCTAAGAAGTTATAATGCTTTTCTTCTAATTAATGTATAGTAGCGGGACTAGTTAAAACCTTTCTAGAGAAATAATTTGCTAAGTGATTTGAATTTGACTTTAATAAAAAAGCATGCTTCAACATCAATATGTCTATGTGCTTTAGGATATTCTTACTGTTATGTAATAATAATAATAGCCGTTAATGTTAATTTATTATAACTATTATTGATTTTAATAATTTACAAAATTAATATACTTAATACTGCTATTTTTTGAAAATTTGAAACAATTTTGCTAAATTATTAATTCTGTACAATACATAAAAAATTCAAAATTTTAAGAGACAGATCTATATATATTCTATCACATTCTTTTGGCCGCAATATATAATTTACGCACTTGATCAAAGTTTGATTAAGTTTATAGTTCCATCAAAGAAACGACGTAAAAAAAAGCATGATAAATTTTTGAAAAGCAATTCAGTCAGTTTAGCCCTTGACGAAACTATGACCTATGATTATTCAAGCGAACAATAGTTTAGGAAGATTATCATACCTGTTGATATCTAAAGAGAAATGTTCATGCAAACAATAGTTTAGGAAGATTATCATACCTGTTAATATCTAAAGAGAAATGTTCATGCATCCCACATAGTTTAGGATATTTGATTAAATAAATATTTCATGAAATATTTAAATTAAGTTATCTTAAAATATTAGCGTCCTTTATATATATATATAATAGATTATTGATTTTTGTACGTTCGCTATACATTGAAGTCGTACTGAAAGCTATTTGCTGCGACTCCAGATCGATAATGGAAACAATGGAAATGGGACATTTGCTGGTATGAGTTCGTCACACCTACCTAGTCTCTGCAATTGTCCCCCTGACGACTAATTTAAATTAATATGCATTTATATAATATTATATTACGTTACTTATTTTACATTTAAATTACTGAAAAGAAGCACAAAAGTATTTCTACGTAAATAAATAAAAAATAATTTGTAGATATTTCTAGATATGTACTAAAACAATTAGATTACAATTATTACGTGTAAAGAAGTTCATAATTTGAAGATGTCTCCATTTTAATATAAATGGAAATAATTAATGTAGGGAAAAACTTTATGTTTCGATTTTATGTTGTAAATTAAACTGTCGCCTTGTATTAAAATATTGTTTAAATTAAATCGTACTTATGGATCGTACTCGTGCAATTCTGAAATTAAATTTATTTCTATCCAATGCTTTAGAAATGTTAAATTATTCAGTTTCAAGAGAGAAAATTCGCAATCGTGGAAAGCACGTGTCAACATAAGATAGCTCAAAAGATCAGTATCAGCTTAACAACCCCGCGAGCTGTTTTTGAAATAAGCCACCCTAGTTCGAATAGGGCGTGCAGAGGACACGCGTGTGATCGATAGGCATGTACTATCTTTTCCTAAGCACGATCAATGGAGGCGTCTTATATAGAGGCGGTACGTTCTCGCTTTAGAATACCTCATGAGTAGTAATCAAATCGATTCTGCTTTATAATTCTTTGACATGTATTGCAAATTACAATACAGTTATTTTATTGACAAACTATTACGAAACTTAGGAAATTCTGTTATTATTTTTGTTTGTAATTTGCACGTGCATTGATTTTTGAACGAGCAGTTAGGGATAAAACAGAACGCGTCAAGCTCGACTACAGACTTGATCACCGTTTGTTGTTAATGTCAATGTTACTTGATAATTCATCCAGATTCTTTGAGATTCGGCGTTTATATATATGTTTTTACAATTGCTTAAAATGCGTTTATATATGTTTTTACAATTGCTAAATTTTATTTGCAGCGATAATAATAAAATTATACTTTATCCTGAATGAATCATCAGAGATTTTTATAAATGTGTAAGGAAAAGTACTTACCTGCAGCTGTTCTTGACGACGATACGCGTGTAGCATTAATTGCTTCCGCTCGTCTTCCGACATTAACGGCTCTCTCGCTGGTTTTCCAGATCCTCTCTTCTGTAGTTTTACGATCACCTTGGTCTTCTCGTTATTACCCACGAAGTCCTTTATCTTCTTCCCAGGTAATAATTCCTTCCCGGAGAACCACAGTTGAGCCAGTTGCACATCGATTACCTACAAGAAGTGTGTGCTTTTACACATGTCAGTGAAGATGTCGCCAATTTCTAGCTTAATTTCTTCGCGAACAACATATAAATTTAAAAAATGTTTTCCAGACTAAAATTCTTTTTAAACGCCCGTAAAATATTTTCAAACGTTTAAAAAAACGATATTTAATTAAATTTCCCTATTACATATTATACCTATAATAAACATTTTATAACTCTAAAGAGTGCTTAAAAAAATTAGAATATTTTTTAAATGCCTGTTTTAAAGCGTTTGTGTTGTTTTATATTGCCATATCGTTCATCAATTTTCAAAAAGCAATACCTCGAGAGATGCTTGAGTACCGGTGAGATCTTCGGTATTCTCAAACTCTTTACGTATCACGTCATGTGGCGGAAGTCCCATCGGATAAACGATTGTCACGGCGCCTCTTAACAAGTCCAGAGCTTCTTGGACTGTCTTCTGGGTAACCAATTTCTCTTGTTGCACTAATTTCTGCGAAATAACATTGAAGAATTTGTTGAACAGCCAGGAGTTTAGCAAGTGTAAAATATAACAAATAAAATTGGATTTACTTTCGATGTCATGGCACGTGCATCCTCGATAGTTTTCTTCAGCACCTCCTGCATCTTTTCGTTGGGTTGTCTACCGTTTCTACGACCTGTATTTATTTAAACTTGTTAGTCTTAATCTATCATGTGAGATGCATACAATTTGAAATACAATCTCTAATTTATTTGCTCATTGTTAGCAAAATTTTATATTGCTAAGAATTGGTATCATTGTGTGTGTGTGTGAGATACAAATAAAATAGATAATTAATATTATAAATTATAAACTGATATACTAAAAAACATAATGAGTACATCATACTTTGCTTAATATACTAGCTTGGTAGGCCCATATTTCACACTTCTAACACTTCTAAGATTAACTCACTCGCTTCGTTTCTTTCTAATATCCGTTTCTACCAACACCCGCCTTAATGTACATACGTTTTTTCGGTACCTTCTAAAGTGCATACGTGGGTCTGTCACGTTCAACGCTATTTTTCTCTACCTTAAGGTATCTTAAAAAATCTAGAAAAATTCGTAAAACAGCTGTCTACATTGTAGTTGACGATTTTATAATCATTTTGATAAATATCGTTTACTTAATATCTTCTGACAAGCTTGCAAGTTTCACAGCTACAAACATCACTTGGACGCCGTAGACCCATGTATGCACCTTTAGGTTAACTTCAATCTTGGTTTAACTTTTACCTTTTATCTGTCTCTAATTTTAAGAACTAGAAAAAGATGAAAAGTAAGTTAAACCGCGATTAAAGTTAATCTACATTGGTGGAAATGGACACAAGGGAGACGTTATAGAAAGAGACAAAGAGTGGAGTTAACCTAAGGTTAAAAGTTAACCGACGTTTGCGGAACTGGGCCAGTGGGCCTTAGATATTATTGAAAGAGACTCAAGCTCATTATCAATTATGAAAGACGTTCGTTTTTATATGTTATAAAACCTATTGTCCGGTGTCGGCGAACAATATATGTTACATTATTACATGTTACACACCGATCTTGTCTCTGTTGAAAGTCCAACCGCCCATGGGCACGCACTTGTCTTCCCATTCGTCCTTGAGCTTGAGCTCCTCAACCTGCTCGTCCGTGAGGCCCATTATGTCAGGCGGTAACATCACGCCGTGCTTAGCCAGCTCCTCGATCTCTATTTTTTCACGAAAGAGACAGCCGTGAGAAGACGAGCGTAGTGAGCGCGCGACCGCGGCCAAGTTTTAAGTCCGTATAATTATCCCGCGTGACTAATATCACACCGATGCTCAGGATAGATGGGTTCATAAACTCAGGCAACTCGACTTTCTTATTACACGCTGTTATTACCGGCCGCGAGTGTGCCCCGAAGAGATAATCGCTAATGGATTTTTCACGTTGATATTCCGACTACGAGGCCAGGGCAGGGTCTGACGCCGCGGTTCGCCGGTTCACCTCGTGCCACAAAAGCTCGTAAAAAAAAGCGTAAAAAAAAACAATCGGTTCTGTCCTCGTTGCTGCTTGTACTTGACTTAGAAATACTGTTCAACATTTTCTATAGCTTTGCTCCAAATTACTGAATATTAATTCTATATAAGAAGGCAACAGTATCAATTACGATAGTCTATATTGAAAGGATTTCATGCTCGTTCGGTATATTAAATCTCATATAAAAAAGTATAGACTCAAAGAATGATTTTCCTTATTTTTTAAATTATTAAAATAGAATTATCAAAATAACCGAAATAATTCGGAATTTCAAAAACGTTTATTTTATCCTGCTCTATAATACTTAGAATAACTTGCTTTTGTGAAAAATACATATAATAAATTTACCATAACAAATTCTCGAAATCTTTAAACGACCATTGTATATCACTGCGATGTCACGTACGACATCGTCCACACTCGCCTCCACGTGGGTGTCATATAAAAATTGACTGTCGTCACCTTTCTTCACGTGTAATCTCACCATTTCTGTCTGGGTTAGAACTTTTGATCAAGACTGAAATTTCTGCTCGATAAGATTAACGTACTAAAGTCGCAATTTAATATCTTCGCTAACTCGAGATTTTTAATTGAGACAATGAATATATTATGACTGTCAATTCGATTTAAATGTTGAAATATTCGGCTAAGTGCATCCAGCGAGTTGTTATGAGGAACCACGAGGAACTAAACAAGTCCAAGTATCCAACATATATTCATATTCACCCAACAAAAGCAGCCTGAACGACAGGAAGGGTCCATGGTAACACAAGCTATCGATTAAACAATGCGAATATAGCTGGCTATCAATGTGAGAGAAATTAGAATGAAAAGGTCGTATGATAAATGCTGAAAGAAAAATGAGAATGACCAGACAAACAGTAATAAAAGGGAGACGGATCGATAAGAGAATAGGAAGATATCACTTAATGAGTATATAACTTTGTGTTGCTCATTATTATATAATATACATATTTACATTCTAGTGGAACACGGATTACAAGAATAAAGACGTTCATATATCGTTACAAATATGAAGAAACGTCGACGACGAATCTCTATTGTCATCGCGCTTCTACTGGCGTTTTTGACACAAAAATATGATATATTTGTATGATTACTTAACGTCGATATATAATATATATATAGTAGCAATTAATAATATATTTTTTAAATATCCTCGGCGCAACGCTGCACAATAAAAATCTATGTCGTAATCCATAATTCTCGGCTATAATGTAAGTGACTAGTATTACGTTAAAATACACTTAGAGTTTCAATTCGATGAGGTGCATCTTACGCAGGTCATTTTCTGTTTGAGGTCCAAACAAAGGTGATCCATGGACGTAACAAACGAATTGGTATTGATCCGTCTCATTGCGACATATCAAATAAAGTTTTGTCGCATTACAAATTATCATTGAGCAACGCGCTGATGCACGATGGAACTTGGCATTCTCTTTCCTTGCATTTTTTGTCACTTTTATTTCGCACGGCTAACATTCCGTTCGGTTATTTGTTACGCCCACGAGATGGTCCCTATAGTAATTGTTGCATACGGACATGTCGAACAATTAAACATCCTAAGCGCGTGTCTTTAAAGTCGCGGGCGCAATTGGTCGGCTCGCAACGATTCCGGAACAGACACGGCGAAAACGAAGATTTTTTTTTTCATTTTTATAATTCATAACTCTTAACATCGATACGAGTAACAATGATAATTGCTTATGTCGAGCGGAGTCGTTCGCCACTCGCATGACAGAACAACGAGATTTGGATACTTATGTTTTACTCAAAATCCTTGCACGGCGATCGTGATCCCGGCGGTAAATCTAACGATAACGAGCAAAACTGCACGGTGCACTGATTTGTTTACGTCAATCGCTACACGCGGAATATTTTTAATCTCACAAAACTAAAGAAATTTCGAATATTTTATCGATTATAAGTCAAAAAAGTAAAATTGTTTGATGTTATAAAAAAAATAGACATAATCGAAAACTTTCTCGAAAAGTTGTAGCCACAAATTATTTTTGCTTAACTGTATCCTCAGGACGTATTTTTCCACACAACAGACAAATGGTGTGCGAAGCAGTGCATCGTGCAATTCTGACAATGAAACGACGTAATCTCTTTTACATACATGTAACAAACACGTGCTTATAAGAGCACATTTATAAATAGACACACGTGTAAATGCGTACGCGACATTTACTTATTCGCTCGTCTATGTGTGGCAACATTTATGACATGATATAGTTTTTTTGAGAATATATTTATGAGAAAATATAGTTAATATCATTTCTTATCTTGGTCGTGCTTTCACATATCTCTATATCTTATTTTTATCGAAAATATGAACTTGCTACAGTATGAAATAAACCCATGGAGTCGCTATTCTCATATAAACACATACACATAGTCGTCGAAAACACCGAATGACGTTCATCTTCTATCTCACAACCGGAAGCGTTTATATTTATCGACCGATTTTTCAATCTTTTAGCATTAAAATGCGATCAAATTAAAAAACTGCAGCTTGACGCGATTTCAGGAATCACTGCGATCGGAATTTGATAGAATTGATAAATTCTCAAACAACAACAACATTAAAATTGCAAAAATAACGTGTCGTCCTTTGTATCCCAAAATAGCTGATTTCGACACGCGTGAGCCATCTTCATTATTAAAATTGCTGACTGAGATTGTTCATTCTCATTCTTTATATCCCGCCCCTTCCAACTTTCATGACAAACGGACGGTAAGATCTTTGGACAGTAAACGCGCGTCATACGGGGCATTCTATTACTATACTACTATATGATAAAATAGATTGCTTATCTTCAAAAACATTTGCTGAACAAAGCTAACTACGACATCGGTGGGTTTTGGATACTTATCGATCGAAATTATTCTTCATCGATGGTAGGCTGGACTTGTAGTGCGTCCTTTAGGAGCCTGTGGTCATACTGCTCGTCGGGTACTTGAAGAGTGGACATAGAGGTGGTGGAGGAAGAGGCGGAGGAAGAAGAGGAGGAAGGAAAGGAAGAACCGTGCAACGATACCTGTTGCACGGTATCCTGTTCTCAAACTTTGCTTTCGGGCCCATCGGTGGTATGCTTGAAAGAATTACGGATTTTGCTTAAGTGAAGAGCAGCGATGTGTCCGTAGCTCTTATTGTACCATTCAGGTGTGCGACCCCTGGAAACAAAATTATTCCAATTGGATTTTTGTCTAATCCCAAGTTTATTTAGTCTTGTAATTTATTTCAAATAAATTATATATAATAAAATAAATAATTAATTTGAAATAAATAAAAATAAATAATTTGCTTTAAGTAAATGTTTGTAAAATACTTCTAAGTAAACGTTAAGAGAGTCGAAGAAGATTAAAATTATTCAAAAAATATTACTTTGTATCGACTCTGGATAAATGCATAATGCGGGATTTGCCGCTGCCACATGGTTCGATAAGATAACGTGAGGCCAAAACGATGCCACGAGTTCCTCCGAGCATGACAGGGGCGTCTGGATGTTGCACGGATGTTTCGACAATGACGCAAGCACCTTTGGGAAGATCGTTCCGCCAGGATCTGCAAAAATTAATTATACTCGTTAGAAACTGTAAACATTTTTGTAAATAATTCAAATTCTCGGAAAATAAAATATTTATTTATAAAAATACAATAATGCTAAATTGTGTTTATGCATGTATAAAGAGGAAGAATAAATAATTTAAATATGATAAATGACGTAATTTAATAATTTTATTAAAGCTTACCTTACTACACAATAATCTCGAGCGGGCAGCGGACTCATGTTCCCGGTGGCGTATTGGAAGACCTCGACATTGGTGTCCAGCTTGGTCACCAGTCTGTATTTTAAAAGTTGCGGATCCCAGATGTGTCTTTCTCTCAGCACACGATGTAACAGCTCATTTGGCGGAGCTTCGACTTCGGTTGACACTCGCCAGAGACGAAGCGGGTGTCCATCGCCGACCTTTTTGTACGCCATTTCTACGCTATTGTCGGCAGGATTGCTTACCGTGACCCAGCCGCGACTTCTGCTAGAACGGATTGCAGTCTCTGTTTAGCGCGTGCGCATCCTTTATTATTCTATTTATATTATTTACTCATTTGACTTGTTAGACTCGATATACTGTATCTTTCCTACTCTTTCTTTCATTATATTTATATTTAATTTAAAAACATACAGACCCGTATTCTCAGTTCATTTTTATTGATAAAAGCGCACTTTTATTTTTGAAATACCATAGTATATGTAACGTAAACTATAGCATCTCAGAATTAAAAGCGAACTGAGAATACGGACCATATTGTATTTCTAAAAATTTTAAAATTTTTATCCGCTTACATTAATTTTATTTTTAACATTATTTACTTTCACGTATGAATTAAACAATGATGATATGTACTAACTTTTCTCGCGCTTCCTTCAGCAACGCCGTGGTGCAGGCGTACAGGTAACCCCTCCAATCCTGCTTCAATTCCGAGCCAAGTTCCTCCAGCGCAACCGGAATGCTCTCTTCCATGTAATTAAAGTGACACTGCGTCAGCATGTCCGACGAGACCTGAAAGAACCGGAAGAGGCTTGAACCCGTGCCCATCCCACTCGTTCGCGCGCCTAGGATCGAACCGAACTCGCGAGCGATCGCGATCGACGAATGACGACGCTTCGGCACTCACCATGAATAATTCACGATGCAACTTGACCAGATACAGAAGACAGTCGTGAGCGGCTTTGTTTTCCGACAGTTCCCGCTGATCGGGAATGCCCACGGTCTTTCGCCTACGTGGCGACACGCTGCTCGACCTGTTGGTCACGTTCGTGTTGCTGTGGTTGAAATGGAACAGGCTCGGGGCTAGACACACGGCCAGATTCGAGGCTGTCATTTGGTTGTAGGGCGAGTTGCTGGCGACGTGATTGAGGAAGTCGAGCAGAGTCTCTAACGCCTCACGATGTTCATCCGGAAGCAGCAACAGGACGCACTGCACAGCATCAGGTCGCAACTCCACCGGTACATCTGCGGAAAAAAAGCGATCCATTGCAAAGTCACGTTTCCCTCTTCGAGCGGTCTGTGTAAACTAGAAAACAAGCTAGCAAGAATCGCGCATACTTACGTTGAAAGATGGCGATAAACGTCTCCGAGAGCTTGTTCGTCAGCAGAGCCTCCGGCAACTCCCTGAAATACTGTTTGACAAGATCGGCGACGTCGAACGCCTGCTGCCCGTCAAAATTGATATTGTCTCCTTGGGTCTCCGTCATAATTTTCAGCTTCTGTATCCTCGACTTGACGCCGCTCTTTCTGAAGATGCCCACCTGATCCAGAGCGTTGGCTCTCAGCCATCTCAGAGCGATCTGGATACACTTAGGAAGAGCTTGACCGGTTCTCTGTAGAGACAGCAAGAGCGGCACTCCGAAGACCGTCTTGTCCTTGTAATCAGGCGTCTTGATTTTCCTGATGAACTTCGGGAGCTCCCAGTTCCAACCGGTGCGATGAGTCGGACAGTACCGTTCCATGCACGCCGTGAGTTTCAACAACGCCAGTTTCCTCAGGACCAGAAGTTGTCCGCACGACATGGAAGCCATCGCTCTAGGACACAACGGGTCCAAGGGTTCGGGGTAGAGCGACCCTCTCTGGAAACTGTGCCACCTGACAACGGTGCCCTGCTTGTGCCTAGGCGATTCCTCTTCCGGTTCGGAGTCCCTACTGGCCACGGTGGAGCCACTCTCTTGACTGCCGGCTAATTCAGAGCTCCTGGACCTGGATTTTTCTCGGTAGACTGTTACCTCCTTAGACAGCGACTTGTCCCTATGCGAGTCGTCGCGGCGTCGGAAGCTCTTGCGCATCTTGTCCTCCCGCTTCGAGGTCGCCGCCTTTTCCTCCTTGTCCTGCGCGAGCTTGTCGCGATACCTCTGCGACTCCTTGCCGAGGTTCAGGCTGCCGCCGCGGGTATTAATCGGTGCGTTCTTCGCCGGCGTGGAATTTTGAGAACGCTCCTTGGAACTTTGGGAACGCACGGTCACGAACTCCAGCACCTTCGCGTGGTTGCTGTTAGCGTCGCGGAAGTACCGATGTCGCCAGTTCGTCGGCTGGCATTCGGAGTCGCTCAGCGCGCCTTGGTCCTCTCTGCCGCGATGTAGAAATCGGCGGGCGCGATTCATCTTCGTGCGGGTCGGCTTCGGTGTCGGTCCACCGCCCTGCGAACCGTCCGAGCAGTAGCTGGAGGAGTCGTCGCCGAAGGGGCTGGGCGCGTTTGCCAGCGGCGACGGCGGTAAATGATAGGGTGAGGCCGGGAGGGTGACCGGCGAGCCGGGAATTTGCAGAGACCCGGCCGACAAGAGTTCGTTGAAGGAGACCGGTGCCGGCCCCGTGGGCGACACGTCCACGCAGTTCAGCTCCTTCATCTTCTGCTGCATGGACATCACGTCGAGCACCTGGGGTCCGCTGATCACCACCCCGTCGCGATTCTGGCGCTTCCGCCGCCGAGACTTCAGGGACTCGACGCGCCTAAGGAAAGCCTTCGCGCCGTCCCGCAGCCTCTCCGAGCCGGACCTGCGAAATCGCGTGCCGTTCTCGTCGGGCACGGTTCCCGGTGGCAAACTGCCGTACCGCAGATTCTCCAGCATGGTGTCTTCCGCCTCTTCCGCCTCCAGACGATCCTCGATGGAATCGTCCTCGGACGCGGCGTTCTGCCCAGCGATCGCCTGCAGCCTCTCGACGTTCCCCGGTGTTACGTCGCCTATGCGCGACCAGCGTCTCGTCTTTTTCTCGAAGGTCCATTTTTCGCTCAAGGCGCACTGCGTGTCCTCGTCGGATTCGTCACCGCCACCACTCTGTATCATAAATAACGACACAAAATTTAAAATAAAACGAGTTTTATATATATATAACAACCAATATATTATGATAATTATAATATATATCAACATGATATTTCCTTGAAGTTGTATTACAATGTTCTATAATAAGTAATAAAATTTTTAAAAATAGTTTATTAATTTTAGCCACGGCTAAAGCATTAGATTTGAACCGATCACTATAATTACTATACTATATTTATAACAAGAGTGTCATAGTTATTCTGATTGACCTAAATTTATAAGCAAAAAACGCTGGCAAAATGTGATTCACCAGTCTGAATCACGATCCGGATCCAGCTGAATCTGGATCCGGGAACTCGATTCGAACGAGAATTCCATTCGTACGTGCGGCTTTCGCGAGCGGGGGGGGGGGGCCTTCGAGCCCATTTATTTCGCGCGGAGGATAATCCTGTCGCGCGCAAGGTGCGATTCCGGCAAGCACAAAGTAAGTAATAAACTAGCCGGTCGGCGCGTGTAATCCGTAAAAGCCTGGGCGTTTCTTCCGCGGGATTACGGCGGACTAACAAAGTGGGCCCGAAAGAACATATGTGACTCAACGTTATCCGACGTTTATACGGGAGAGAAACGTTACGCTCGAAATAAATGATACTTATCGAACGCTTAACGAACGATGGTGTTTCGTAATCGGTTCGTAAGCAACGAAATTAAGGACCGCCGGCCATTGGAGAACAGGCGGATCGCGCCCAGTGCTCTATAATTAATTGTAGAAAGTCTTCCGTGCGCACTTTTACCGCTCGTAATCGGCGATGGGGTTCTTGAGGTCGCAAGTCAAGCATTTCTGCTGCCCTCGATAGCAAAGAGAAAAAAGAAATTGCCGGCTCGATAACCACGAGGTCATCAGCTCGCGTAATAAGAATTGAACGGTTTTCGAAGGAAACCGTCAGACCGGGAGATTTTTCGACGGAAGTCGCTATTATCATGTTAACTATGCGTATCAACAAGGTAAAAGGAAAATTTTATTATTTTATGAAATCAGAATATTGCCAAAAATATGAAAATTAAATAATCTTGTGTGAATGTGATAGGTATATATAATAATTTTTGTCATATCAGTTTTGTAGCCCATCAATTAAAAAAGTGTTACAGGAGGAAACATCCTAAATTTCCGTAACGTCAAAACAGTTTACGTCCTAATTATGTCTCCTAAATTAAATTTCATTGTGCCGTCTGAAATTTATGGCCGGCTATTACGGACTTACACCATTTCTCCACTCAACGACCCGTCAGACGAACTGACACGAGCCCGAACCGTGTTCCTAATTCATTTTGGGAAGCTTCGCCATTCGGGAGAACGATCGCACGCTTTTATCACCGCGGTAAATCCCGTTTTATATAGGAAACACAGCATTCCCAAGGCACAGTTACGATATACGTCGTAAAAAAATAATTTACTAGAACGATCTCGCGCGGCGCGACGCAGTGGGTGACGCTCTCGAAATGGGTTTACAGGTCTCCGCCGCGGTGGGCGAAGAAAACGAGCAGGGCTTCGCCTTTTCGCGTCTCTCGCAATACCTCTCGTTTTTTCCTCGTTCGATTACGCGACGCGAGTGACCGAATAATAATGTGAGGCAGCGCTTCTTCTCGAGGATGTGGGCCACGGATAAAAATACGCGGCATTGCACGTGCGGGATATCGGCCGGGAAATAAAGCGTGGGCGACGCCGGCAGAAAATAGATTTTTGAGATTTCGGAGTGCATTTCGCGCTCCGTGTTGGCCTAACGCTGCAAGGTGGGGCAGGCTTTCGAAATCCTTCCGTCGAAGCGACGGAAATAAAATCGGCCGGATGACGTCCGACAGCGACGTCGTCGTCGTCGACGACGACGACGACGACGACAACGGGGACGACCGCGGTGACAAATGTCGGGTCTTTGATGAGGCCTGCGAGGCAAGGTTCACGCCGATGTAAGGCGCGGTATATATAATTGCGAAACTATTTTTGCGTCGCTAATTATTCCTTCCGGTGGCCCCGTGCGGGATAATATAAATAAAACCGCCCCCTTCGCGCGCGAAAACGCATAGGAGTGGCACGTTTCTGATACTTTTTTAGTGGCGCAAAACGGGCTGCCATCAATCATTCTGCAGAAATTGGTTTTATAATTTATTTAAAAGTGATCGAGACGATTGAGAAGAAATTGCAAAACGCACGTTAACTCCGATAATACAAGAATGCAATTTTTACAACGCTATTTCTGATTTCATGCATTATCTTATAATAAGGATAATTTTTACTCGAATTAGAGGAGAATAAAGGGAAATTATATAAGAAATTTTATTTATATCAATGTTTATATTGTTTATGTTGTAAGTCAGCGCTTTAAAAAGAATCGTATGATTTTTCTTCCGATAACTCGTCGCATTTCTTGTAAATTGTGTATTCATATGGAGATTCATTGGAGAGCATATAATTCAAAACGTGATCCTCGCTTCTTAGATGAGAAACGCGCGCGCGTGTGTGTGTTAAGAAGGTTCTACAGATAATGGATGTATCTAAAAATTGGAAAAAACTTTATGGACGTATAAATTAAGATGCGAAAAAAGTGCTCGAAAAATTTTAGCATCGGTTACCTTGTAAAAATTTGCAAAAATGAATTTTGAAATCACAGTTTTTAACATAAGCTACATATGGCAGAGGGGCTCTTGGAGACAGGAAACGAGATATTAATTATATAAAGGCAACCTACCAGAGATTCAAAAAACGGAGCTCTTCTAAGCTTTTCAGAAATATCGAGAAAAACAAGGGTTATCGCGTAAAATTTTGTGATATTGGCTATTGAAACAGGCCATATCACAGTTCACGTAGCGTGCTTCGAATAACAAGGGAGATTTGGCAATGTCGCAGCGACTGCACCCGCGTGAAAAGTGTACAGCCAGTACAGCACCACAGTATGACAGCACCTCAAACTTAAGCACCTAACGTTTACGAGCGCTTACGGAGAAGTACTCGCTCTAGAATTATGTGAAATTGTGAAATAACCACGGTCATATGAGCAGAACTGTCAAGTTCGCGACGTTACCACATTTTCTTCCATTATAAGCCGCCAGAGTCAAAGGAGCACTTACACGATATTTTTAATTATTCCTCGCTTCGACTAATATGGATATGATATAAGCTCTAACGTCATCAAAATTCACGAAAATATTTTATGAATACTTAGAATCGATGAATTTGAAGATTTTCTCTTCATCTCTCAACTGACTAGAGAGTACCTGTAGAACCTCCTTAAACGGTGCCACCGTGCAAACCGTGCGAGGCGTTGCCGCGGTGAGAGACCAGGTCCATTGTCATGTAGCGTGGATCACGTGAGGTTTCACACACACGTACGCTCCGTGTGTGTGTGTGTGTGTGTGTGTGCGCGCTTCACGTGAAAATACAAAGGCGTCAAGTTTCGTAACGAGAAGCGATGTGTCGGTCCTATTGTTAGAAAGCCAACCGTCTCCGGGGCGCACGAAAAGACGCCCATTTCGGCTTAGTCACCTTATGGGGAACTGACGAGATACCACGAGAAGTCGCAGGGGTCACCGTGTCGTTTCTCTTTCCTCGGTGACGGAGCAACCGGGGCACACAGCCCGTGCTAGACGAGCTGATCGGGAAGACGGATAACAGCCGCCGCGCCGCGCCGGAACGAAAAGCTCTCGGATGCGTGAATGCCGATAACGACTTTCCGGGCTAACACAAACTGGAAGGCTAAATAGAATCCCTCGTTCGTGAATTGCGATAAATGCTTGGCATCATGACAGAGAGAGAGACTGATGAGAGTACAAAGTATCCATTATGCTTTCAACGCGTAAAATTAATGGTTTACTTTGGTTTATTGACACACACTTCAGAAGCGTTTAAGTTGATGAATTTCGACGTACAGTCCATATTCCGAACGTTTTCCTTGATATAAACGCAAATTGATATAGACCATCGTACACTCGATTAACAATAAAAGAGATCAATAAAAGGAATCATACTTCAGTGTTTCCAATTTCTATATCTCGTGTCTAGTTTCGATTATTTTTACTTCTTCCCCGACATTTCGCCATCATTAGATATTATACCGGCGCATATTATATAACGCAAATTGATATAGACCATCGTACACTCGATTAACAATAAAAGAGATCAATAAAAGAAATCATACTTCAGTGTTTCCAATTTCTATATCTCGTGTCTAGTTTCGATTATTTTTACTTCTTCCCCGACATTTCGCCATCATTAGATATTATACGCCTGACGAAGGGCGAGACGGCGAGACGACTCTGCGAGCCAGCGACGAAGGCTATATGCATTTACGTCGAGGAGGATCGACGCAATAGACATTCTCCGTCATCCTTCTCCGAGGAGGATGCACCTTTCGTAATGCATCTAATGCGCGAGCATCGGACATCGGCATACGACTCTCTCCTTCTCCCTCTCTGTCTCTCTTTTTCTTTGTCATGCAATAAGTTTCGCGGCCGATTACCGTCCATTCGGTACTTAGATCGTTCGCTCGCATGCACGTAGGTATCTGCGTTTCCGTTCCGGCGCGTTACTACGCGAGAGACGTGACGATACCCCCATACGTGAGTTATTTCCGCGCGGCACTCAACGAGCCGTGTCGCCCCGCCGTGTGTACGGCCGACGTCACTTCCGTCTAAGCAGGTTGAACAAACCGTCCGTCCGTCGTTTTTCTGGGCCCGGACGGCCCGAGATATACGCGCAAATACATCTCGTATACATGGAAGGACACTCGTTACGCAAGAGGAAAAAAAATTTCAGTTTTACTTCCGTCGAGTGTGTCTTATTAAAATGCATTTCTCATTTTTTTTTTGCGACTTGTTTAATGTCTCTGCGAGAGATGTGTAATATTATTTTGTTACGTAAAACTTACGTAAAACTATATATGAAATCATAATCACACGCGTAATTATTTTACATTATAAAAATTTATTATGCATTAAAAATTTATGACTCGAATACACATATC